TCCGGAGAGAAGGAGACTGATGTGACCCGTTTAGTGTGCCCTTTCAAGGGCCGACAGGCGGTTTGCTGTCCCGTTGCTACTTCCCTCAGCCAGACAGTCTTATCGAATGTTCCAGCTGTTGCAATGCAAGTCCAATCCGGAGAGAATGAAATCAAGCGAGCCTCAGTGTGCTCCAGTAAGAGCTCACCGACTGGCTGTCCCGTTGCTACTTCCCACAGCTGAACATTGTTACCGTCTGAACGAGTTGCGATGCGAGTCCCATCTGGAGAGAATGAAATTAAGTAAACCTCCTCAGTGTGCCCCAGTAAGGGCTCACCAACTGGCTGCCCTGTCGCTACATCCAACAGCCGGACAGTGCCATCCCTAGAACTAGTCGCGATGCGGGTCCCATCTGGCGATAGCGAGACTGAGGTAATTGGATTAGTGTGCCCCTTTAAGGGCTCACCAACTGGCTGCCCCGTCCCTACATCCCACAGCCGGACAGTACAATCCTGTGAACCAGAAACGATGCGAGTTCCACCCGGCGAGAACGAGACTGATTTAACCCAACCAGTGTGCCCCTTCAAGGGCTCGCCAACTGACTGCCACGTTCCTACATCCCACAGCTGGATAGTCTTATCGACCGAACCAGACACGATGCGAGTCCCATCCGGAGAGAATGAGATTGAAAGAACCAAACCAGTGTACCTCACCAAGGGCTCACTGGTTGGCTGTCCCATTGCTACTTCCCACAGACGGATAGTCCTATCCGTAGAACCAGAAACGATGCGAGTCCCATCCGGAGAGAACGAGACCGACTCGACCTCATAAGTGTGCCCTTCCAAGGGCTCACCGGCTGGTTGTCCCGATGCTACTTCCCACAACCGGACTGTCTTATCATCTGAACCAGAAACGACGCGAGTCTCACCCGGCGAGAACGACACTGACTTAACCTTACCAGTGTGCCCCCGTAAGGGTTCACCAATTGGCTGTCGCGTCGCTGCATTCCACAGTCGGATTGTCTTATCGTGCGAACCTGTTACGATGCGAGATCCGCTCGGCGAGAATGCGACTGAATTAACCGACTTCGTATGCCCCAATAAAGGTTCACCAATGGGCTGCCACGTCGCTACATCCCACAACCGGACGGTCTTATCGACCGAGCCAGACGCGATGCGCGTCCCATCCGGCGAGAATGAAACTGAGGTAACATAAGAAGTGTGCCCCAGCAAGGGCTGGCCTACTGGCTGCCCAGTCGCTGCATCCCACAGCCGCACAGTGCAATCCCATGATCCAGTGGCAATGCGAGTGCTATCCGGCGAGAACGAGACTGAGGAAACAGGACCGGTGTGTCCGCTGATTACAGTCTGAACAGCCGTCCAGTTGATATCACGTCCAGATGCCACACGAAGAGAGTTTGGAAACCGTGGAGAAAACGTTTTGGATAGTGTACAATTGACAGGCGAGAATGGTAGTGCTGATACATAGAGATGCGGGGTGCTATGCAAGATGATGCCGCCGAAGACTTGGATAAATCTCTGCACGTCCATTGCAGCGGATGAGGCATCCTCGTATCCGGTGTGACCCTGCAATTGTGATTGCATGTTTGTGAGCATGTTATCTAACGCTCGATGACCGTGTGCGAACCTTTAACCACTTAGCAATAAGCGGAAGGGCGGGGACGGCGCCGCTGAGTGCGTTCATAAGGCCGAGTACCTCGAGCCAGAACAACAGTCGCTCATGCTCGAACAATGATTTGATTTCTTTGGCGAGTTCTGGATCGAAGTGAGTTGTTTGCACGTGGACAGGCCAAAATCGGCAGGCATAAGATAGGTGTGGAGGGATACATTTTTCAACTCGAACTCGCAGACTGGGATCTTCGGAGTTGGGGAGATATGATGATGTCAGATCGCAGATATTGAAGGAGAGTCTATGTTCCATCACACGAAGTGATGCGAAAGCAAGGTCGTGTTGTACCTTCGACACGTCGACGAAGAACTCTCCACTGCATGCACGGTCTGTAAGGAAATCGCGGAAGGATGCATGGAGGGGTCGGATTGGGGTAGATGAGTTGGTGGTGCCGCTAAGGAGTGATCCCAGGCCTTTTACTACAACCTTCGCTTCATAACGGTCGCGTTCGTCTAGAAAGTAGCGTCTCATAGCGTTTAGGGAAAGCAAAGAGATGGGTTCAGCTGTACCCAGTATTTGTCCCATCACTGATTGAAAGCTTGCAAGTGCCGTCGAACGCAGTTTTTGTGGATGTTGGAAACTTGTAGACGTATCCTTGGGCATGATCTGTGTCAAGATGAGGTGATACATCTCATACAACAGCATGCTTCTCTCGGCAGGATCGCGTGACACAACAGTGTCGAAGCAAGCGACTGGTGATGATCCAAGAATAGGCTCTGTGATGTATCTGCAGGCAAGACGCGCCCACTCAAAAAGTCCATCAGCTTTCTCAGCCAAGGTTGTGAATTCTTTGTCCCCAAAGTGCGAGAGCCCTTCCAGCTCCTTTGATATGTAAGTGCGGATGTCGCGCTCTGCGGTGGCTGGTGGAATCTTGTCCATGGACATCTGTCGGATATGCCGAGCACCTGAAAACTCAGCTTCGATATCGCGAAGCGGGCGAGAAGTGACGATAATCCGGAAGGTGGCTGGAAGTTGGGTGATCCGTCGAGCACCTAGTTTACCCGCAAGAAGGCGGAGAAGGCGGAGCTGTGTCTCGACTCCGCCGCTCTCGTCCAGTGCGTCTATCACGATGACGACAGGTCTTACAATCGACCCTGACAACTTCCCAAGTGGTTTCATGAGAAGCTCGTCCCACTGTTGGACGATATCCGCTGTAGTCTTCAGCGAAGTCGCATCCTTGACTGTCTCTGCCAATGCTCGTCTCATCTCTGGATCACGGTCGGCCAGGTCGCGCGCGATGGTGGAAAAAATCTTTTCATGACGACGGTCGACATCTCGCTGGCGATCGAAACAGTAACATGAACCTAGCCCTCCCACATCATTGAACCAGTTGGCAATCGTGTGGGCAATGGCCGACTTGCCCTTCTCTGCAGGGCCAGATAGCCAGAGTACACGCTAGACATCGTCTCCGGTGCTGTTAACCCAATCGGTGATTTCGGAGATGATTTCCGTGCGCGTCTCTGGTAGGCATTGTTTCCCAGTATTTCGTCCTGCACCATCCGCATACGTCATACCGCTGAGATCTAGTGTTTCATCTGGAGAGGTATGAATGGATGTCGAGTTAGAAGCACGTAAAAACCCTTACCTGTACGATGGACATAGATGGCTACATCGCGAGTAACTTGCTTCTGGAAGTTGTCCATGAGCTTATCCAACATTCCGCTGTATCCTCGAATTGCATCATCTGTTTCCCGGCCTATGTTCTTTCCTGCTCTACTCCCTACGACAATAGTAGAACATTGAGACTGTGAAAGGGCAGCGAGTTGCAAATACTCACAAAAGTTCTTGGTCTCCGAATAATCTCTGATGAAATGTGCACATTCAAGGGTCTGCTCGGAAATCTGTCCAAGGATAGTGTGCATCGACGAAATTTGGTGAAGCCTCTTGTCTTCTGTGATGAAGCTGTAAACGTCACCCAACTTCTGGAGAAGGCTGAGTATCGCTGTATCGCGATCCGCTTGAGCGAGAATTACCTGCACGCATAACAACTGAGAAAAAGACATGAATGAGAGTAAAACCAAACATACTTTTGCGGCCCAAGACAACACGCTCAGTGCCATCTTTGCGTATGGATGTACCTATGGAACAGGATTGGTTCGGTTCCGATCGAGAGATATGGTCCATACCTCCGCAAGTGTCCCGATGACGCTGTCGAATATCCTGAGTGATTCTAGATATGTATCCTGGAAATTATATGCAGCCTCAAGGTCCGCTGATGCATTTTGGGCAGTAGATGCTCCAGATGTCGCATGTCCCGAAAGTGGCTTCATGAGTTTTACAGCCTCTTTGGCGTTCTGAAGTGCCAATTGGGGGTCGGTGCCTTGATTTTTTTCCACACCGGAGGGAGCATCCTCAACCTGCGCGACGACTAGAATCTAGAGAAAGAGAGAGCAGAAACTAAAAGGTGACCTACCTTGGTATTCGGAATCGATGAGGCACCTTTATAATCAACGTTCGGGAGAACAGGTTCGCAGCTGCGGGAATCATTCGAGTGCTTCTGTACGATCACGATTCACATGAGCCTTGTTCCAGGAAATTCGAGATCCTTGTGGACTCACAGAAATCTTTTTCGTCGCATTTTTAACCTTCCCTAGAAATCGACGAATTTTGCCACGGTGTCTGTCCTGGATGAAGGAGCATCAGAGTTAATGTTTCGAGTTAAATGAGAAGTGGCCCTCATCAGAAACATACCGAACTTTCACCAGCGGTTGCTTCACTGGATGCGTAGTTTTCAGGAGGAAGATTTTGCCTTGAGTTCCTTGATTGATTGCGTTCACTCATCGTTTGAAATGGTGGATACGATTGACTGGGAGGATCAGTCGAAGCGAAGTAGGGTGGGTTAAGTACTGGTTAGAGGAAATGGTGGGTCCCGCTCGAGCGTTTAGATAACAGGTCATAACCTTCGCCGCAAGCCTCAAGACAATATTTGCTGCTGTATTTACTGGGCGGCTCTTGAGTCGGAACTCCAGGAAATGCATGGAAGAACGACTATCCTATGCCCGGCGTCTGCCTCGAGAGTTGAGAGTCGAGACTATGAAAACTCCATGCTGATCACAGAGATGCCAGTGAGTGATGTATGCACGCAAGAATTACCAGTGGCCTCGGAGTGGCCTGCTTGGAGCTGGTGGAGAAAACTTCGATCGGGGCTCATTTGCTGCAACTAATGGCTTGGTCTACTCAGGCTGTCGAAGGACCTCAGCCATAGCTTGCCGCTTGAGCTTAACTGAATTTCGAACTGCATGCACAAATAGGTTGAGTTGTTCCTCAAATGAAGCTTGCCATAGCAGCTGTGTGAGACGTGGGACGTGGGGCGCTTCAATTGGATATGTGGAATCGAAAGGCCATCTATGGGAGAAGACCGCATACAATTATTACAATAGCATATTCTCTGGAAAGACGGAGGCCCAGGTCTGCCATTGTGAACTCATCAGAATTCTTGGAACCCGCATCAGATCTGACCAGTGACCTTTGGGGCATGCGTCAAGCGTCGACTTCCACAATAGGGAGTCACTTTCAAATGATCACTGATTCTCTTGATTCACGTTGCAGATAATCGATAACGTCTTCCCTATAGTACCACAGTTCACTGATCAACTCGCCATAGCTTGCCCACAGCCTTTCCGAGAACATGACTGACACGAATAACCCCTCTGCGATTCCAAATGCCATGATACATGTGATTGATCCAGAGCGGGACAATACTTTCCGTGCTCTAGCAGCTACCAGTGGATACCTCAAAGCGCAGAGTCGGAACAAGATTCTCGTGAAATGTACGCAGTGTGAAACGGAAATGGAGAAACCTCGCAAATGCTCGAAGGTCAGTAGTGGTATATATCCAAATACTGCTGCGAGAATTCATCGAGTGTCACAAACAACTTTTAGTGCAGGAGTGTTTTGTATTGTTCACAAAGGTAGGCTTTGCCACTAGAACGACACTGAATTCTGAAGCGCTGACACTGTGCATATGTAGTGCCAAAGGAAAAACTGGTGAGAGCATTGCCTACGATCGATACAGATCGAATCCTTACCACATTGCGTACGCCATGATCATCAGGCCCACCCACAAACGGATATGCCACGAAGTCGAACATTCCTCGGGGGTACTCAAACTCGTTCGGATGTTCAGTGTGAATCCGTTGCTCATGATGTACCTCAAAGTTGCTATCGTTCTCGACTGTAACCTGCTCAACAATCCCCGGATTGGATTCGAGCTGCCGTTCGTGGCACATGTTGATATTGCCTTAGAGCCAAGTGACATTTTTGACTTCGTTGGATTGTATTTCGATGACAAGGTTGTTCGGGAGAAACTCCAGGGGATGGTGCAAGTCAACGCCATGACTCCGTGGTACACGGGTATGCAGGGCGCACGCCCCCTCACACCGCAGCGACTAAACCAATGGCGCGAGGTCCGAGCAAGGCATAATGCAGATGGTTACACCAAAGATCCTGTTGGACTGTTAGATTTCTCTTCTGCGGGGATCTCGAAGAATGATAGAACAATAACCTACATGGTAAGTGTGGGGTGTCATATATCCCCTGTCATCCTTGAGATGGCGATGGAACGTGAGCCCTTCGTACGTGTCTGTCCACTCGCAGGCACTCGGTTCAAGCAACCCATGAACGCTATGACATGTCTAGAGTAGGTCCTTCATCCATATTCCTAGGATTTTAGCAATAGAGCCCCTTATTGTTACCTTGCATAGGTATATCAATATACATATTCGGGCGGATACGCAGAATCAGCTGCGTTTACGGACCGAGATGACAGAGCAAGACAAAGAAGTTATTCAGGCAGCAGGTCGCGACGAGGACGAAGATCCCGCTCGTGTTCTCAAAGAGAAGATGGGAAGAGAAATCATGTATAATAATATCGTTAGACAGGGCAAAGCTCCCAGCCCAGGCTCGGAGACACAGCGAGCAAGGCAGAGGATGAGGTGAGACGCCACGAACAATGATCTGAAACTAGTCTGTGCTGACTAAGCTATGGAGACCCCGACGTAGTCCCTGCCCTTGTTGCGGGATGTGGGGCTGCAAGGGCGTTGCGGCCCCCATCGCTCAGCCTAAAGTTCGTGTGTGCATGTGGGATTGTAGAAAGGAGGAGTGAGTCTGATGGTACAATGAACAGTTACATGCAAGTTTGTGCGTTTTCGGTGATTTCTCACAAGTGTTTTCTGAATTTTGTGCCAGGCCCGGAGCTAGAAGAAAAGAAAATACTTTCACAAAAGCCTTCTCTCCTCCGCCAGTCACCCTTGAATTCAAGTTAGCATTGTACTATACTGTATCACACATAGGGACGTTACTTCGGCTGGATCTGTCGAAATTTTACATCATTTTGAACTTTGAAGATGCTTTACAGAGTAACACGAAGGCTGATGTATAGAGCATTTCTTGGATGGGCTGCCAGTACCATTGAATTCAGTGGATACTCGTAGGTACAGTGCTTGTGACATGCACGACGGTGCGGGTTCGTCGATGGTGTAATTTATGGGGGACTTATTTGGGGGAGGTCTGTCTTTGATCGCAAAACTTGGCCGATGTTGAATTCGAAAGAACTGAGCTACAAGTACCTGCCATACAAATGGGAACTGTATGATTTTATATTATTACTGTAAGTAATAGTCGACTGAAAGCTAGAGAAATGCGAGAACAGGAGTGGCATCTACGGGCGACCTCGGACCGAGTGAGAAGCATTGTAACATATCGCATCCAAATGCGCAAGAGAAAGACAAACTAGCGCCGAATTCTATGGAAGGACTTGTATATCTGAATAGATGTTCTCATGCGGCTTTGCGCTCGGCCTTTGGCAATAGCGGGTCAAGTCTAGTTTGCTGTATTTCCAGGCCTCTGGTGCCAAAGTACCTGCAAATCCAATCAGATTAAATGACAGTTCATACCATTGAGAATTTTGTACGACCTTTGACCTTCGTAACTCCAACAAGTGTTCGCTCGAGGCCAGTTTGCTATCCCGTCAAGATACTCCTTGACTAAAACATCGACGGAAGGCCCCCATGAAGGGACCTTTGCAAGACCGTCGATAAATCGTTTCTCAAGTCCAGCGTGATAATGTGCTGCCCAAGATATCGCGCCGCCTCTGTCAAGGCCGAGTTCCAGCATGGCAGTGCTAATCAAGTTATGGTTTTCATTTCCAGCTGCTTGCTCTTTGTTGTACGAAACCATGTCCTGTGAAGGTTGTTAGCAGACCGCAAGCCACGGCATCCTCAATGCTACTTTACATTGTCAATTATAATCAAATCTGTGCTACATCCAGCAAGTTCCACAATGATGGGATGGTAGAATATTTCATCAGGAAGATCCATCCCCATTTCACATATCGTGAAAGACGGGTGTGCGCCAATAGTAAGCCGCCGGAGCTTGAGGTAGTCATCGATACTGCGCCTATGACCTTGTTCGCGATCAAGGGCCTCGACAACTACTGCACGAAGGTATGCAGTAAAGGTTTCAAGAAAGTGACGTTGAGAAGACAGACTTGCGGTCTGGATGGCACGAGCCCAAAATCTATGCAAAAATCCCTTGGAATTCAGAAGATCGTCATCAAACACTTTGGAAGCACTTACTGTCGCGCGATTTCACCGAGAATGCATTCGCCTTCAGGTCGTATCTTTTGAGGATTGTTTATGGCGTCTATCACGAGGTCCGCCATATCTTTGGTGACTGCCCCATTTTCGTTGTCGGTGTACTCCTCCAAAAGGAAGAAAACATTCATTAATTCACAGCCGATTCGAATGTGTTCTAGTTTGTCAGGACGCAATCAGGGCTCTGTGATGCGTGAATTACCAGAAGTCAAACACGAACCTCGTGGTGCATTGGGATAAGCCAGTGCTACTAGGCGGGCTATAGACACAGTGCATGTCAATCATCATCGGAAGTGAGAACTAGTGACATAAGTCGAACCAAAATCACATTTGTCGAATGCTTCCTGTGACTCAGGACTCAGAGCCTTGAAATCACGGAACGAAGCACCGACTTCAGCTTTCACATCTTCAAAATGCGGATTGATGGCACGAGGCCAGGGCCAGTTGACCATGGTGTCTGGGAGGTATATCATCTTTGAGTGAGTATCCATGGCCTCCAAAATTTATTTTCCGCTGAGGAGTGCGAACGCTTGAAAGAGGGGATTTTTTTTGCCGACGAGTTCAGGGCTTGCAGTAAAACATATATACATGCCACCTGCGTCAGGATTGGGCTACTTCAGGTCTATCCGCAAATAGGGTGATACGCACTTACCGCACCGTTGATGGCAGATAGTGCATAATTATGCCATTAGGGTTCCAGTTACGAAGGTTCGGTCGGCCTTGTGAAGATCTGAAACATTGATTAATACCCCGTAGTAATTTATCTTCCCTCTATCATGACTGCTGCGGGCCGCTTTCAAATCGAAGTGGATCACCCCGACAACTTTGGACCAGGTAGAAAACATTCCCGTATCTAAAGTTTCGGTTACCACCACTTCAAGCTGCAGGTGTCAGAGAGCGGGGATCAGCACCCACGCAGCTAAGATGAAATTAGGAATGAAGTCCCAACCAATGATGAAATTCAGACGAAACTAATTAACTGACCATACGAGAACGTTATTTCCCTCAAACATATCCATCAAATAAGGAAAGTGACTCACCGCGTTGGCCGATATGCCCCAACATAGACTAAACGATATACCACCTCCTCTTCGACTGCCTCAATACGTATGTGAATGCCACTTCCTCCAGAACGCACCGAGACGCGATGGCACGTATATAACCTGCAGTGAAGTGAGGAGTGACTTTTCCGACGTGAAGATGAGACGTGTTGTCGGTGGCAAGTCAATAGTGCCAGTAGACTCCGAGAGATTCCGAGCCAGCCCCACGTTCGGCCAAGGCGTCTCATCACACTCTGAGATAAAAGGAGAAACGCGCTCTCATTGCCGTCCACGTCGCTATCGGGTAGTCAGGAAGTCAGTCATCCGCGATCATCACGCTAATTAAGATCCAACGCACGTCATAACGATGCCAAGGCCTGACACCCTACTAACCCATCTGCCCTCCCCGCAGCTTTCCTTTTGTACAAAATCGCTCCATGAGGTGTTGGAGTATGTTTTAACACATATACATGACAGTGCATACCTACCTGCATTATTACTATAGACGAAGCAAATGACGAGACATATCCGATGGGGACTCCGGCCCCAAAGGATCGCTCTAACGTAAACATGACCGTACTAAAAAAAACAAGGTTAAAAACTGTGCTTACAATTATTCAGATGCTTTAGTGATCATGCTAGCAGACAAATGATTCGAGTCCCCGATTAAAGTTCTCCGGGAAACGTCGTCGAGTTGTTGGTGTGGGGAAATGAACCGCTCGCTCCCAGAACGTATTGCTAGCTGCTTGGTCAGACAGAGGCGAGCTATAGATTGTCTTCAACTTATAATATTTCTGTTGCAGAGCTGCCTTTTGAAACGAAGTGGGTCACGGCAACTAAAGCCATTTCCGTTTGGAAAGTTTCTGCTGCTACCATTTCAAATGATAGGTGCCGGTGAAGAACGATACCGGAGAGTGGGGGATTGGCGCCCGAGCCGCAAAGATGACGATAAAAATGAAGATCTCCGAGAAGCCATGGTAAATAAATAGATACCCGAAAGAGGCATGGGAATCCAAAATTAGCTGAAAAATCAGAACACATAGATGGACGATCACAAACCATGCATTAATTTCCAAAATCGAGGTTGAAAATACATGTATTCGAACGTCTCAGTAATCACACAAGTCCGCCGATAAATGAACAGAGTTTCTAATTAAGGTTCCCTGCTTGAAGGGGGCGTAGTGAAATGAATCACTGGGTGCCAATAGTGGGTTGCGCTCTGGTAGACATATGGGTACTACACTGAGCGGTCCCGGAAATGACACCGTCAGTTGGGCATACGGGATGTGTTCCCGGTTGTCGCTGCAACAGTGATGGCAGTGGATTTTGTGGTGGGGTTCGTGAATTCCCACCCAAACGTAATAATTTAGCTGGGGAAAAAACTGTAGTGGATTGTATAGGCGGCATGGTTATGATGATTGTGCCAGGAGGTGTTCCCTACAAGATGGATGACAATTGGGTACTCCCGTCGAGGGATAGACTGACGCAGGAGCTGAAGCTGAAGTGTTATCTGCGTACCGATCCATCGGACAATGCATGACTCCGAAAAAGAGCGTCCAGCTGTGAGGCGGGCCGCGCGAAAGGCAAGTAGGCAACTGGGCTGCGACTTCGGGCTCGGGAGAGTATCATGGTTTTGCAAATGACCCAGCGTTAGTACGTCCCAATGCCTTGGATCGTAAATGGAAGACTCTTTCCAGCATCTGTACCAGTGGCAAGGATCGTGCAGTCGAGACTTGGTTGAGGCTGTTGACTCGGAAGAAATGCCTCAAAGCTGCCATTCACGTGACACTGTTTTGAACTGCGCGGCATTACCACACCACAGTGGTATCGAACGGCTTCACATTCGGTGGTTGCATTATTTCGTGCTTTTGGTATGATATCTTCCGTTCTTCAGCATGAGACAAAGTATTGACCGCGGGACATCAAGACAAGTGCCACATGTAAGCACTTGTAGTTGAGTCTACCTGGCACCTTAGTTTATAATTGGGCCCAAGATTTATTCAAATCATTGTAGGTCAACGGGCCGTAGATTTCACACAGTAGATTCTCGATACCTCTACCAGTACTGCACGCCGTGGCTGCATTCTTGCTAGTGAACAAGCACATGCCATCACTTCAAGTGTTTCGTCGTGCGTACATGCAAGGCTATGGTTCTGATCGCGGCCCTTGGCGTTATCGTCTCTTTCCCGAGCACGAGCTACGTGCTCAGATCCTGAAACGCTGCACAACTAGTATCTCAAGCGACGGAGGAAGCCTTGGTGCTTCTCTCCAGCCTCATGTTAGTTCAACCAACGAGGACAGATACCTGATCATGGATTTAAGCCTTCCAAATGGTGTCTGGAGCTTGAGCTGTATCTTTGATGGTGCGTATCATGAGGTACCACAAATACTTCACCTTCCTCTACATATTTTGTCAATAAACATCTCCTATGCAGGCCATGGAGGACATGAAACAGCTGACTACCTTGTCACCGAATTGCCCCCCCTTTTAATGGCTGGATTGTTGCCCACAGTGGCCAACTTGGAGGGTGTTTCGGATGTTCTTACTAGAGCGATTTATGACGTGGATGAAGCAATAAAACGGGACTTTCTCGAGATATTTCCAGAAGAAGTCAACGAGATCGCTGCGATGTCAGATGTAACAGTCAAGGCGCGAGTCAACGACCAGTCTTCTGGAGGATTAAATTATCGGAAAGCCCTGCGCTGCTTGAGGGGATCTACAATCTTATTAGCGCTCGTTGACCCTACAAAGAAACATCTTTGGGTACTAAATCTCGGTGATGGCGTAGCGGGTAAGCCGAGGTGAAGGTTATTAAAATACACGCGGAAATCACTGACATTGACTTTTGAGTAGTGCTCGGAAGTAGACAAGACGCGAGTTCACAATGGAATACATCCATCTTGAGCGATAATCACAATGGCAGTAACCCTACTGAGGCCGATCGCATCAAACAACAACATCCTGACGAACCGGAATGCATTTTTGATGATAGAGTGCTCGGTAATCTTGCTGTCACGAGAGGTAAGTCTACCAAATGTATTAGATCAGCTGATCTCACTGATGCGGCATCAAGCTGTTGGCGACTATGCCTTCAAACTGCCTCGCATCTACACTGAGAAAATATTTTTAAATGTAGAACCGGGATTTCGTGTCCCTGCTGCGATTGAGTCTTTCATTCCACGAAATCTGAGCCCACCATACGTCTCGAATCTTGCAAGCGTTCGTTATGTTGACCTTCATGCGAAGTCAAGCTGCGACTACTTTATCCTGATGTGTTCCGACGGGCTAGTCGACCTTTACATGGATGACCCAAATCGTTCTGAATCCCTTACATCTCTTGTCCAGAAGTGGGTGGGAATAGTAGGTGACGTCGTGAGGGACGACATCCAGGAGGCAATGCTGCTCTTGTTAAGACAGGCTCTGGGCGCAGAAGACATCGACAGTGTCTCATGTATGCTTACTGTAGACATGCCTGTCGCTTACATGGATGATACGACCATCATCTTACAAGTGCTGTAGCATCCAATACGGAAGCATTTGCATGTAGGGGGTAACGGATGCGGGTTGTACAGATGCCAAGTGCCAAAAATGCTACGTCTGTAAATTATGGATAAAAGTCAGGAAAAAGTCGAGTCGTGCATCATCGCAGATCCACGATCTCCAGCGGGATGTCTTTCATTTGCACGTGCCCCTTGTCTGCGTCCTAAACAACCAATCAATAGCTGTGGGTGAACCAGTCTAGAAGCAACGCACTGTATAGATCGGCACCTCCGGGTGTGGGTGGAAGGCCTCCTTAACATTGCAATCTAAAATTGTTTGCAAGCCTGGGGGGTCGGTGAGGCGGAAAATTCCAAAGCTAACCATGAAAAAAAATTAAGACACGAGCAGTATGAACAATGTGGTACGCACTTAGGAGTGAACTTTGGGGCGCAAACAACGGCAAAGGACTCTGGAAGCATACGCTGAAATCCAGAATGTGTGTGTAAATCAACCGACGACATAAAACCTTCGTAAAGGGTCAAGTGAGTGAAAGGTTTTGTACTAAATTTAAGGACTCACAAGATTGTGAAGGATGCGTGTGAATCTAACGAAGATCGTTAGATGCCGACGCACAAGACAGCCGGAGGAAACATACCCATCCCAAGGTAATCAAAGATCGTTCTTCCGTGAATTGCAGGACGAGCTCTTCCTCGTCCATGGTGCAGGTATCGCTTGTTGAGTGCTGCTTTGGAATCAAGAGTGTCGTGACAGTAAATTTATTTCCTCTATCTTTTCCGAGCAATAGTCCACAAGTTTCGCGATTTCGTGCCGTATTCAGCGATGCGATAGATAGGAACCGCGGAAGGCACTCTCGTGGCAAGCTCACAGACTTCAGGTCGGGTACCTGGACAGGATCGCTGGCTTTACGAGTGATCCGTGCAGACTCTTGGGAAGCAGTCCGGTACCGGTCACCATCGATGTGATGTACGGGAGCGGGTGGGGGTGGAGGCGCAGCCTGAGGAGCTCGTGAAAGGGAAGAATATGGAGCTGCAGAATCAAAGTAGGCACCAGAAGGCGGCCGCGTCGCATTCTGAGAGTATGGGTATGACGCCACCTGACTCGGCACGACAACCATGGGTGGATCGGGGACTTGATTAGTAGATAATTGAGAAGATTCTGGTACGAAAAGTAGAGAAGATCGTCCAAGATTGGTGGGCCTAAGAGTGGGGTAATTAAACATTGATTGCAGAGAAGGTGCGTAGCCTTGCTTGAGCTGGTGTTGCGACATGAGTTCTGGGTATTGAATATGTCCGTCCGGTGGAACAGGTGATGTTGTGGTTACTGGTGCAGGATAAGATGGGCTGAAGGGACAATTAGATACGCTCGAAGAGGACGAGGAGATACTCACGACTTCAAACTTGTCGGGGTTGCAGCGTGGTTCCTATATGGCCAAGTCAATAAATGTGTACATTCAGAATTCGAGGACGCTGACCTTGTTGGGCTCTCGATAGGCATAAGAAGAGGAGCGGCGTCTTCATAAAACTGCGCATCCACGAAAGATGAACGCTGGGAGCTGCCTGCGGACGCCGCAGGCATGGGAGAAGGAACAATACTATGGCGAGCCTCCCGCGCAGCAAGCTCTGCTTCCTCTTGGCGTTTCAGAATACCCTCCTGTTCCCGCCTGCGTCTTCGTCTAACTTCATCTTGTTCGTCTCTTCTTCGGTCTTCATGCTTCCTGAACTCGTCGTGCTCTCTCCGTTTTTCCACAGCGCTCACAGGGGTCACAGGCTCAGAAGGGGTGCCTTCGCGATTGTAGTACGTCGAGTCACGTAGCTGTGGATTCGCGGCGCGCCGAGCAGCTGCCAAGGCATCTTCCTTTTCTGGTTCCCGGTATCAATCTGTAGACGCGGTGGCTGTGGCTCGACCGATCGCATAGAATGACGTGCCTCATCTCCCCTTCTCATCTCCTCACGTTTTCGTTCAGCATCTCTGCGAACTGCTTCTTGTGCTAGCCATCCGGAATCGTCAAAGGGAGAGCGTCGACCATCGTCTTGTCGCCTGTACTCCGTGTGCCTGCTCCCCTCTGGGTAACCGTTTGATGACAATGGCCTGCCAGAATCCATATTTTGCATCCTCCATCGGTCATGGCGGGCGGCAATGATTGGCTTGATTTCACCAAGATCAAGAAGAATTTGTTGACCATTCTGAAACGAGGGGTCAGACAGAGTCGCACTGAGATCAATTTACGGCGGATTAATGAGGAGCGTATCGTACTTTGACGAAGTACACATTTCATGATCGGAAGAAACGAGAAATGCAGCAGGCACGAGTTACTCACAAGACCAAGATTGTGGCGCTGCGTTGGTGACAGTAGAGTGTAGTACTCCTTGTGCATCGGAAGTTTCTCAAGAATTATTGTCGCAGACTTCGCGTATTCCATGAAGGCTTCCTCAAGTTCACCAGCCTCGGCATACGCTCTGCCAGCCTTCCGGAAGCCATCTGCTTTCTTCAGCCATTGCTTGAGACCTTTCGAAGGATCCCAAAGGTTGGAAAGAGCACGTTCTGAGAGTTCTGCAATTGCTAAAGGTCTCCGATTAGATGGGCTCGGCTGCGGAGAGGGTCGGGGCACATTTGCATAAGGTGAACTCATGATGGAACGAAAGCAAGTGCATCTAACCACTACCGCAGCGTAGCATCCCGATATTTCGTATTTACCGTATTTGGAACGAAATGCCTCCGTGTGGCTGTGCTCAGAGGCTGATTCTGGCCAGCATCTGGAACTGGATGGACAATTGACCAAGTACTACATATATGTATATGCTCATTAGATTCATAAATCATCATACAACAAGTTCAGCTTCTTGCGCAGCACGCACTTAGCTCCGAGGTCGATCTAACAATAGCTAACAATACAGTCCTTGTTGTCAACTGCCCGCGACGAGTAAATGGTGCTAATAGCATCATAATAGTAATTTCGAAATATCCATATGAACACAACAAAATACGCCAAAGTCGTGGCAGAAGGCTGAGTACGAGCGCGAAGACACAATAGATTAGAAGCACATACAAATCTCTAGGGAAAGCGCGGACTCCAGGCAACATTCGAACTGACTACATTCTGCAAGGTTCCTCATTCAGACTCAGCTGTGCGTATCGATGGTCGGTCTTTAGTCCCTGTACCGTAGACTGAATTGCCGTCGTTGTGGGTAAATTGGGACACATGGAGTTGTAAAGGACCCATGTGATATCGCCGTGAGTTTCTTTGTTCAATCTCACTTGCTGTCCTAGGAGTAGTCGGGAAGCGACGGTTTCTATTGATTGCGATGCGAATGAGCACCATGTAAAAGGCAATCGACATGATCGGCATGGCCTGGTAAATCGAAGCTCAGTTTTTTTAATAACCAATGATAACAGGGGAAATCACCATGTCCAACACCACAGCCTCTCCGATGTTCGAGAACACGAAATATATTAGTGCAGGGAAGAGGACTGCAGAGTATAGAACAGCGGAATCCACAAGCACGCGCAATATTGGCACCACAGTGCTCTTCGTAGCACGCACTGTAGAGACACTGCGTTCAATCATCCAAATACGATACGCCAGTAATCCTGGACACATTCAGGCCCTCGAGATCGCGCTCGCGAAAATGTGCTTACCAGAACCCGACAAATTAGTGGCAATTGTTAAGACAAGAAACGCCCTTACCCACTGCGCGAGTTCCACGACGAAGATGCTACTACTAGCTTGCGAATAGCTGTGAATCGCATGAAAACCAGTCACTGCGAGGTAACATCAGCATCAGACAAAACTGCGTCCTGAGCATTACTGCCACCTAACCTGCGACGCCGCACCACAACATGCATGGCAGTATGATAACCCGGGTAGACTGCCACACAATATAACAGCGGTAGATTTTTTAGACACTTCTATAAGCTCAGGGCCCTAAACTGGCGGAAAAAAATATGAACCTACCACCACACCATCAGCAACCAGGGTTTGCATAACATACAAGGTGTCCTTGATCAAATATGTGATCTGAGAAAAGTCTTCGAAGAAAGCCACGGGTCCGCCTAGGAACGTGTCGCGATACTTCATCAGTCCATCTTCTGCATGAATGATGTTGACGGCGACGTGCTTGTAAGATTTCAGCAAATGACATCATGTGTCAGAAGCAAGAAGCGCTAACCACGGTACTCAGTATCAACAGCAGGACAGCCACCACAAGTGATGGGCGATCGCTGCGGCGGTTGTAGGTCAAAGCACAGATTGTACCCAAAAACATGAAAATAGAAAAGCCTGAAGAATGGTCAAGCCCCGGCATAAGACAAGGGAACCTATTGCAATACTCATCGTACAAAATACATTCCAGTATTAATGACAACACAACGGCAGCATCCCTTGGCATGCCTATTGAAGCCATGGCGAGAATACCGTCTAGGGCTGGGAGATCAGTGAAGGTGCGGGCATCTTTACCCACATTATGTCTATCGTTATTATACGGAAAGGACAAGCACCTGGCGCCGGTTGATTGGAAGAGCCATCACACAACTTCTTATGCCGCACCGCCCCTTAGCTTCCAGGGTTGTCTAACAATATATTCTTTACTGTTGACTACCCGTGGCGAAGATTCTTAGATCTAGTGGTTGCTCGGAGCATCAATTTCTAATTGTCCATGTGAATGTAACAAACACGTCAGAGTCGTGGTAGAACGTCAATCGTGAGGCCTTGAGGGCCATACGACATCATGGAGTCATGGTGTTTTGCGGGAAGGAAGTGAGCTGTGAAGCATTTCCCGTCAATTCGAATGTGGAGGTCAAAATTCCACTAGTGTCGAGCGCAAGCTCATAAGTGCCGGGGTAGAGCCAGAAGTTGCCATTGGTATCTGCTCTTGCGAGATTGCCAAGTGTGATCGGTAGCTCAGCTGTTGCAGTGGTGCCCGGCGCAATGCTGTAGGAGCGGGCATAACTGACAAGAGCCTTGTTAGGGTAGGGAGCATTTCCATAAGTGCCACTGGCGAAAAGAAGAGAGACATAGTCAGATGTCCCTGAGGATAAGGAAATGAGGTAGGAGAGCGTGATAAATTGTAGGTCACATACTGTTTCCAGTGTTCGTGACACTGACAGCGACCGTAGCAAACGGTGCGATGTCCAAGTATGCAGCGTACTCCCCTCCATCAACGAGAGCCTGAATGCTGTATGATGTTGCGGGGGCTTGCGCCCATTTGTAAGAAAATGTAGTGTAGTGCTCGCCATATCCGAATTCGTAGATAGGTATGTCGGTGTACCAGATATAGGTACGGCCCGGACTCGTTGAGTTGGGACGGAGGTTCATATCCGTCATAGGGATCTCATTGACATAGTTTGCTGGGTACTGCGTGATAGGAAGGCGCCCAGCAGGCGCAACCTCGCCACTGAGGATGTCGAAAACAGCCTTTCCACCACTCTGGCCTGGATACCCTGCCCAAACAAGGGCATTGACCTAAAACAACAACAACTATTGAGCAATTTAACCGGAAGAGAGGGATTGGTCGCTGACAGAAGCATTGCCCTTGAGAACGGTGTCATCGAGTTGTCCGCCGCCAAATTGCACCACGACCAAAGGCTTGCCTATCACCTGAAGCTCAGCAATAAGGTCGAGCTGGTTGCCGGGCCAAGTAATCGTGTAGCGATCCATGGCCTCGGCCTCGACGGTGATATCAATACCCCCAGTGTAGATGATGGCGTCTGCCTCCTTTGCAGCCGCAATAGCAGCAGCGAATCCACTCGTATCATTAGATGTAATGCTGGTGCCCAATACGTAGGTAACGTTATAGCCATCATCCATCGCGCCCATGACGGGGCTGATGAGATAGGGAGCAACACCGAAGTAGTTGCCCTGCATCTGGGCGGTTGCATTTGCCCACGGGCCGATCAAAGCGATATTTTTGATGCTGCTTGAGAGCGGCAGAGTACCGTCATTCCTCAAGAGAACAATACCCTCCACAGCAGCTTGGTATGCAAGCTGCTGGGCGGGGGGAGTATTGACGTTACTCCAGTTGTATGTTCTATAAGGCTGTTGATCTTCTGGATCAAAGTAACCGAGGCTGAAGCACTGTATCAGCAAACAAACATTGTCATGCACGAAGGCGCCGTACCGGACGAGCGAGGCGTATTGGCGAACCAGAGCTGTGCGTAGGTCGGTCTCTGTGATAAGAGACTCGTTGTATGCGGTTGGCAACCATTCCGCATAGAAGGTGCCACAATCGATGTCAGCTCCCGCTTTGAGTGCGTCTGCGACAGCCTGTTGAGGGATTGCATAGTTGTGGGGAGAGTAGATATTGTCGATAGCGTCTGAAGAGTGAAGTTTGATCATAAGGCCAAGTAATTATGCAGATTCTACTCGCCACAATCACTCGTGATCTGTTGGTAAGTCATCAGCTCACTATATGCAAGCAAATTAACTTTGAATATACCCATCGGTCTTGTGCGAAGCCGTAGAAATCGCGGAGAATATCTTGAAGCAAGTACGTATTTGCGCAAGAAGGAACGCCATTGACAGCATTGTACGAGCACCTGCGTTATCAACAGGTGGAATGAATCGACATAATAATACTGCGCAAGGAATTGTGATAGTACGTACATGGCAGCACCAACTTTGGCATCTCTATAACAACTCTGGAACGAGGGCAGGTAGTATTCCGCGAGATCTTGAGAAGTGATCACTGCGTTAAAGCCATATCGAACAGTGCCATACCAGTCCTCGAGATCGTAGCCCGCAAAGTGTTTGCAGGTGGAAACGACCTGGTAGTAAGGCTCCGGGTCAAGACCGCCTGCAAGCCAATCACGAGGTTGTACACGTATTGAGCAAGGTGGTACGGATCTTCTCCGGGCGTCTCCTGTCCTCTGCCCCATCGGGGGTCTTTGAACGGATTGATATTTGGTGTCCAGAAGTCTAGACCCTGCGCGCCCGTAGTTATTGAAGGCACGTCCCTCCATGCCCACAACGCTTCCAACAGACTGGATCAGCTCGTCATCAAACGCAGCACTCATAAGGATTGGCTGGGGAAACGATGTCGCATAGCTGAATTCGCCCGATGTCGAGAAGTTAATACCAGGACTGTCTGCTACTCCGTGCTGGACACAAGCAAGTCAGTCTCGGCAGACTCCGAGCCTCTGTTAAACATTATCATTCACCAAGGCTTCTGACCACCACTGGTACGCTGGCAAACCCAGACGAGGAACCCCAGGGGACGTGCTGACAGTATTATTGATCAGTTCTGGAACAGTGAACAACTCGACCAAGGAAGTTGCCCGCGTAATGGGGTCAAGAGCAGTGTTGCAGACTGCATTGCTTGCCAGAGGTCCGCCTTCACAATCAGGAAAGCTATAACCAGTAACGCTGTCTGCTGTGAGGGCAAAAACAAGAGCGACATGCTTTGAAAGCCTCATGGTAATCCTTTGCAGCAATAGATCACGAAGGCCGACAAACATTAATTGCCGGTATTCGCGTCGTTTTTATAGTATTCAAATCTTCGGACAATCTGTTCAGTGGTGACCTTTTCACGCGTCAAACATCGCTCACGAGTGGCAGTAGCGGTCCGCATAGGGAAACAAAATAGGAAGAAGGAGTGTTGTGTGTCATATGGTCTGTCAGGTGAGTTATTGATACCTGCAATTCCTCTGCCATCACCGGCGCCTCTCTTCCACGAAGCACTAAGTCGTATGGGTGTGGTTCCCATCCTGGAAATTCCTCGGAATAAACATATCCTATCACTGTGAGTACTTGGTTTGAGTAACCACCTACGGAACTGATGATTTTCCCATTTATCATGTCAAGCGACAGCCCAAGCTTCGTTTCAATACCATTGCACATACTCAGTTATCTTGAAACATCGTGCCAGCGTATGGATCGACGTGTACCTATCTTTACGAGCTTATTGATGGGCGATCTAGTACTATTTGCAACTCGGAAGGCTTCCTGGTTTCAATTGCTGTTGGCAGGAGTGCCACGTCTCAGATGTGGACTGGGGGTAACGAAGATACTCGGTTGACACGCTTACGTCTTTGCCTCACTGGTCATGCGGTTTCTTAAGCAAAACACTCTAAGACCGATATACCCATGGTGATCATTTTTTCTTCAGGGAAGCTGAAGGGCATGGATAAACTGTCGACATAATGGCATGCGGATAACGGCCCCGGCCATCACGAGACAGACGCGGCTCTTTGGATGGAATAACAGAGCTCCCGGGGAAAATATTGGCTATTATAGGCATTACTTCGTTCAAGGCAGGAGCACATGTCTGTCCGCTCAAATAATGGGTTGCGACAACAACCAGCAGACGTCGGCGGGGAACCCTGTGACGCGGAGAAATTCCGCATCACGTCTGAATACTTCACCGTTATACTAGGATGCTTAATCAAAATCCTATTATCTTTAACGTTCGCCCAAAGTCAGATCGTGAAGACCGGAGAGGGGAATGATTTTGTGGGAAGGCAGTACCTCATCCGCGAATTGGGGGCACCAAACTGTGCAGGAATCAAGAGAAATTCTGCAACGACACAACATCATCTGATTGCCTCTTTGTCAAGTCATCGTCAATGTTTAGCATCAGGACGGTGTACACTGCCGCCGCGGGTTGACTGACCTAGGAGCATAGAAGGATAATCTCCATTCGTTTATTGTCTGCCCAGGGAGACTATAGAAACCCCAATGAAGTAGCGCAGATCAGTAGGCATATTAACAAAGTACAATATTCGTACAAGGACAGTCTGACTACTCCCCAAAATACTCCTCCACCAGTGCTTGTTTCCTGAGGGCCAGTAACACGCCCTCCATTTCCTCGCTTGTCGGAAGTGTCGGTGGCATCAGATCTTCTGGTGACAAAAACCCCAGATAGGCAGCAGCTGCATTCGCATGTGTGCGCATCGAGTCTGCGCCTCCATTTGAGGGAATGACATCTGTCTTCGCTGTACCATCTGATTCAGCTTTGCGGAGTCGTTTTGCCTGGTCAGGTGCAGCTGCCTCCGCATTCACCGTGTCCATCTCGACATCTTCCTCCTGAGTTTTGCGTTTAGTATTTACTGAAGGTTGAGGTGGAGAGAGCCCGTTTGATGGGAGTGGTGATGAGCTTGCAGATGATCCACGAGGTATTGGGGGTATTGGATCGTCAAGAGGGAGGTCAAGGGTCTCCCGGACATTTGTATATTCATCTCGCCATTCTGCAGGATGCATGTAAGAAATGGAACAATCTACACCCGTAGACATGACGTACCTTCTTCCTCTGCTTGATGCTCATACTCCAACAACTTTCCATCTGCTTCGTCCAGGTCGCCAAAGTATGTGGGGCCCTGATTCGTAAACTTTTTATAGAATGCAAGTGCTTGATTTTCTTCCTCTTCCTCTTGCTTTTTGCTCTGGAAAAGTTCTCGCACGCCTGGGAGATCTTTTGCGCGGCCAAAATACCTAACATTTTATCAGCGACATCTTCATGGGTTGAGCTAGAACTCGAAAGGGCGTACTTGTATCCTTTTGTTCCGGGTACCTCCTTCCCATCATCATCAAGCATGGCTACATTCCGTCGATAGTTGGCACCTCCCAGCGCAATAATCTGGTTCTCCCAATGTCGCTTCTCTCGCATCAACTTGTTAATCTCGTCGTTTACATCTCGAACTTCATAGTCAGTTAAACCGGCTATTGGCAAAAATCCATGTCAGCTCGTCCGAATTCTGAGTCTCCTGCAGAATGACGCACCGTCCTGAATCTTGGACACTTTCCGGCTTAGCTCCCTTAGAATTTCGCCTCTCCACCGCTCGCACTCCCTTAGACTCTTGCAGGCGCTCGCCATCTTCGGACGACGATCTGCGCGCGTGCCGAGGCCAAGTTCAGCTGCTTGAGCTTCTCGGAAACGGTACAACATCGACTGTGCTTTCTCTTCATTGCGGGCCTAGTTATGACAACGATGTTTAGTGGAATCTACCAAAAAATCGTCTTGTTGCCTACCATGGTTAGATATAAAAGTTCGAAATAAAGAAAGTGATGATGTGCAATGCCCTTGGCTGGCCTTTGACGCGAAAGTTCAAATCAAGCAGGCTTGATTGTACGTACTGACGTTGTGTAACCCTAACCTTAAGTTATACATACGACCTTTTTGGGGGAACCAGCTGGCGTATTAGGGAGTATCAGGGGTCTTGCATTGGCTCTCCCATGGACGATTCCATTTGGAATTGGGAAGCGTGGCGATCCGATCTTACACTTTCGATCGAGGCTTGATTGAGTCAACCTTGTCAGATATTTTCCCAGTCATGCCGAGTCATAGACTCGGTGTAGCTTATAAAAATATGGCTTGCATCTGATAACGCGTATTTTCTCTTTGGTCACAATAGCCATGGGTGACAAGGACAGCATCACATCTCTAGCACAAGGCCAAACGGATGACTCTGCCAACCCGAGAAGCCTTGCTGCACTCGATGTGAGTGTGCCACCTGCTGAACGTAGTCATGCATAATACCAACGCTGTTTGCGGCAGGCATCCAAGCTCAATATCACGCTTGCGACGACATTGAAGCCCCTGCAGCCCATCGAGACATTATGTTTCGGCCAGGTGAGCGACACCTCTGACAACCATATCCATGTCGCTCTAACGATAATGATACCAGACATTCTCGGACCACATGATCGTTGCGACTTATGACCCTGAAATAGGGTGGTCCGCGCCCGAGGTCAAGCCCCATGGGCCCATTACACTCGATCCTGCATGCTCGTGCTTCCAGTACGGCGGAAATGTCTTCGAGGGTATGAAGGCTTATCTTGGGCCTAACGGTGAAGCACGCTTGTTCCGCCCAGATATGAACATGCGTCGAATGGAGAAGTCTTGTGCACGTCTCGCTCTTCCCGTGAGTACCATGACATTCATGCAGGTAGTGACTCTGACTTCGTTGCCCCATGCAGCCTATCGACGGAGATGTGGTTTTGGAACTGGTAAAGTGTCTGGTGAACCTTGAAAAACGCTGGATACCCAAAGAATCTGGATATAGTTTGTATCTGCGTCCTACCGTCATCGCAACCCGCCCAGGTTCGTGGGATGAATCAATGGTATACGAGTATTCACCTGATTGCAATGTAGGTTTGGGAGTGATAGCATCTGACCATGCCATGCTTTACATTCTTGCATCGCCAACTGGGCCATACTATCAAGTGTTGAAGCCTGTTTCTCTCTTTGCGGTCAGTGAAAATGTGCGCGCGTGGCCGGGTGGAACCGGAGGGCACAAAGTCGCTGGCAACTACTCACCCGGCTTCCTGCCCCAACGCACTGCTGCAGAGAAAGGCTACGAACAAATCCTTTGGCTGTTTGGTGATGACAGAAGAATCACAGAAGCTGGAGCGATGAACTTCTTCGTTGTAGTCAAGAGGGATGATGGGGACGGTGAGTTTTAATTGGACAAAATTAGATATATAAATGAACTCATCTGTTGAAGGCGTGGATTTCATTACCGCACCTCTGGACGGTACTATTCTACCTGGAGTCACTAGAGCATCATGCCTTGCCCTCGCAAGCGATCCAGATTTTCACAAAGAAAGCTCAGTGCGCTTACACCCACAAGAAACAGTGTATACCATGAGTGACCTCGCGAAATGGTCGTCCGAGGGCAAATTGCTAGAGGCATTAGTCATAGGCACAGCGGTCATTGTTGGACCTTGCAATAGAATTGGGTACGAGGGTAAAGACATCGTAATTCCTGGGGCTGGAATGGGCCCAGTTGGTACAGCACTCCGGAAAAAGATTCTTGATATCCAGGAGGGTAGAACAGAGTGGAAAGGATGGGGCGTCGTCTGCCCTTAGTAGCATGCTACAGTACTAGAAACAGTATCCTAGCGCATTCTGGCCGCCATCAGTAAAACTGAAAGTGTAATTGAAATTCCCTTGCACAAACTCTCTACTGCGATACTGACGTTGGACGAAATATACTTTGCCTGTAATAGTCTGCCAGAGTGTCGTTCGCTTCTCGTCCTCACAGCAGTCACGACATCTCTTTGAAAGGCTCTTTCCGGAACCAGTGACGATAGAGCCGTCAAGGTCCGCTCAGCCTACGGGTTCTGTAAACTATCCGAGTCGTGCCAGCAGAATGGACAGCGGAGGATTGATAAAGAGTCGAGAACAGAAATCATTCTTGATGCCAATGTAGTATGATTATAGCGGAGAGAGCTCTTGCAGAGTATGCATTACTTCATTGCACACTGCATCCGTGGTACCTCGAGGCCTTGTTTTGCGCACATCAGCGGGGAGGTCCACCATGTTCCTGCACTGAACTCTTCATCTTGAAATGAAGAGAGGAGGCTTGAAGGGTATCACTTCTCTTATACTATGCTCGCGCTGACGAGCTTTCTGCAGCTCGTCGGAAGTTCTACGCGTTTTATACAGCATACCGCGGGAACGTGAGGCCGGTCATTGTCGTAGTCAAAGGATTGGACAATCGCCGAATTGCCCATTAGTAGGTCGAGAAACATATCATGCATGATGGCGCCGGACGAAATTTATTCTCGACATTTACTCCAGCCGAAGAACTCGGAGATGATTATTTGAAGCAACAGGCAGTACAGGAATTGCAGGATTTCGTTCGGTGGGCCCGTCTCATTCGTAGCGAGAGGAAAGTTAGATAGAAAAAGAAAAAACTGGCGCGTAGGAACCGACTGTGAGTGACGAGTTACTGTGAAGGAGACGTTTAATAATCATTTTATGGTCTTAACGAGGCGTGGAAAGCCAGATACTCTCGTATTTATTCGCGGGGGACGATATCGTGAATTTAGGTGCGGACGTTTACAGCTTTCGTTCTGAATATCCCTGATATAACATGTAGTTGGTATACGGGACGATTGTTCAGTACTACACAGAGTTAATATTTACGCCATTGAAATCTTCTCAACTGCAACCTTTCCCTCCGCCAAGCCTTACTCCCAACTTTGCTTCCGAGCTGAGACAAATATCTCGAACATCTTGTTTACTGACCCCCACATTTTCATTATGACCTGAAGTTGCTTAGGTGATTTCTTGGGAATGCAATGACTGATGCGAGTCACTGGGAAATATAAAGAACAGCACAACTGCGACCTTCACAGGTTCATCGATGGGGGATGCTCCGACAAGAATTAATTTTTTTTTTGGACCTACAACATCAACGGGGTCGTGGATACGGTGTCACCTTCAAAAGTGGCGTCGAAGAAAACCCCAAGAGAGGGCTCGGACAGCTGGTGGCAGTGCCTCAGACTCGATCAAAGATTAGCAACAAAGCAACGAGCCGGGCATTCTGGTCACCCAACTAGAGTTCCTTTAGGCCTAGACAAGTCAGAGCCAATTCGCGGAGAAAGGCATCATCCATATGCGCTGTGAGCGAATGCCCAAGGCCCAAGCGATCGAGTCCCTTGAATGACAGCAGCGGATGCAACATGCTAGGGCCGAGGACGATCGATTCGTTGCTAGTATCCTCCCTTGATGTCGTTTCCACGACTAACGACAACCGTGTAAGTTTCTCGGGATATACCATTTCGAGTGCATAAAGAAAAGGTGGGGGAAGACGTCATCGTAGAGCGAGTAGTGAAGGTGCAAACATTCAATCAAGAAATGGACTTTTTGCAGGAATGCTTTGCAAGGATAAGGGTGTGAGAGCTACTATCTTTATCACGGTAAACATGTAGGATGTGAGCTCTGATGAAGCATAAGGATTGAAGCGTTCGGAAAGGGGTAGCGTGTGTGTCAAAGCCCGTTGGTTCGCAGGACCAGCCTCCAACACTTGAAGTTTCTTCCAGCCTACAACTGCTTCGCTGTTGCTTGCATCGACGAATCACCTGCACCAAAGCATATCAAATTCTCGAGAAAAGGACACGACGGCGCAAGCGACGGGTGAAAGCGTGAGGGTTTTCACAGCGGGACCGCAGAAACAATGTAAGGAAAGGGAAAAAGTCGTCACGATCGGACAGCCAATCCAACTCTGTGAAGGAGATATTGAAGGAAGCCTGTAGGCTAGCGTCGCTTTACAGGTGACAGGGATTGCGTGGAAGTCACATGTCACAGGCGGAGGAGTTTCGATTAATTTTTCCAAATTCGGCGAATGCAGATCTCATCCCTACATCAATCTCCAACATCAATGCGGGCCCGGAGACGCCAGCCTAAGTTCCTGGATATATAGGGATTCTCATGGGTACTGTCATCGGCGTAATGTTGCCTATACTTAGATAGAGTGATGCTATCAGGTAAGTACCTTTTTTAAAACGCCTGTGGATCGTAGGAATCCATGTATCAGTGTTGCACTCTGATTGTACCAGTAAGTACTTTCTTACAGTATATGACCTGGCTAATAATCTTGCCATTTTACCAGCGCAATGTTATGTATGTTTTTCACTCTCACTCACGCCTGTCGCACGAACCTGACCACCTCCCTACGCGTATGTCATAAGTAGCGCCTACGGTAAATTTCCGACTGACATAAGTCAAGGATACGAATTTATGATGCTATTTATGCACGACCACTGCAAACATCAGGCAAGCCTACGTATTATCGTGGGGCCTCATATGTTGTACACTGTACTGCCTTGAGATAACGCCGGCCAGTAACATACAAATACTGAACAGGATGCACCCCAAAGTGTCATCCAATGACGCATTTCAAGTTAGTACTTCTCTGTGTCTCTCTCTACTTCGTTGGAGTAATCCAAGCTGCACCTACTACTATTACTACTACTGACGACAGTTCTGAAGCCCTATCATTCACGACCAGAACCATATGGACCATCATCTCCAGCTCTGTTCTCACTTTATTTGCGTGCATATACAGCACCATTCACCCTAATATTCCGAGTCCTAAGGACAGCCCCCTTCTTATTCTATGGCGACGACTTGGCATCATGTTAATGGCACTAATCGCTCCTGAATTAATCGTCACATGGGCTATGCGCCAGTGGTTCAGCGCTCGTCAAGTTACAAGACAGTTCAAGAAATCGGGGTATCCTAGTGTTCGTCCGGAGCCTGAAGGTGAGTCTTGCTTTCGGAAACTCTGCGACTCACAACTCACTATACATGTACTCAGAGTCAGATCATGGGTCTATCGAAGCACCCTCAGAACGATACGCTGAAGGTGATTTTATCAAAGAACTCTGAACCATTTCCTCATGGCTCACCTGCTTCGCAAGATAATGATAGCACCCGACTTCTCATAGCGCATCCCGAAGGTGAATCATTATCTGTGCCCGTGTTTCTTCGGAAGTTCATACTAGTACTCCAGTGTCCACTTCAAAATATGAGGGAACTCATACTCTTACGAAGCCATTCAGAAAATTGTTTGAGGTTTATGTTTCAGAGCAATCTGAAGGTAAGCCCGACCTGTTTCTCTCAAACATACCTGATATTTGGCTCGTATGCATCCTTAGATTATACGTGGACTCAAGAACATAGCTTCTTTGCGCTAATGGGTGGCTTCATGCTTTATGTGGATGGGAAACCCTATCACACACTACAGCCCGACGACATCCTCAAGCTGATACGTGCCGGGTGTATCGACGCCCCTACTCTAACAGTAAAACAGATCCACGACAAGAGCAAAAGCAATGGAATATCGAAAGGATTGACCGTCCTTCAAGTGGCCTGGTTTGTTATGCAGCTCATCACCCGCGCTATCTATCACTTCGAAACCACCCAGCTCGAAGTAGGAACACTCGCTTTTGCAGTTCTCAATTTTCTCACTTATGCTGTGTGGTGGAACAAACCTCTCAATGTGCAATGCCCACATCCAGTGTACTGGAAGTCGACCGAGTCAAGGCCAGAGGATCACCTTGAGTATGTATGTGCCTCAACAATTATACCACTATTGATTATGTCTGCCGTAGTATCCCTGAAAGCAACCAAGTCGCTGGATGGGGAATCTTATTTCCAGTTTGCCACTCAATTGAAGAATTGATAAGCTCACCCGGTCTCATTCCCACATCTCGAAAGCTCCGAGTTCCAACATTCGATGGCAGCATCGAACTCGAGGCTTCAAACTTGTTGGTTCTTTTGCTTGCTGGATTCCTTATGGTAACAATATTTGGCGGCATTCATTGTATGGCTTGGTTTTTTGCCTTCCCCACACACGAGGAACAGGTGCTATGGCGCATGAGTTCCGCTGCTATAACTTGCACACCCTGGTTTGGTTTCCTTACTTTATTGCTCTCCGGGGGCTTCCCGGTCTATGCTGTATTATACACTGCAGGACGTGTCACCCTCTTGGTACTTATGTTCACTACTTTACGAAATCTTCCTCCTGACGCGTACAAGGCGGTGTCATGGACTAGTTTGGTGCCGCACTTATAATTCTCGATCATGATACTTATGATACACTACATACTTCTTAACGATATTCTGATGCGGCATTCTTTTGGTCGACGATGGAGCTAGGTTTACAAGTTATTTCACAGCCGCTATGTAGTATGAAGTTAATAACGCGGTCACGTGACCCGTATCCGCGCGAACCGAACCAATTCGCAGTGTCCAAGTCTTGCTTGAACTTCCTTATCATATATCAATATATCATGATTCACCATGGACGGCAGCCTGTTTGGTGTGTTGCGGCTGATGAAACGCAGAAAGTCAGGGATCTGGAAACTCCGGCACCGTCCGTCCGGGTCCACGAGTCCCAAGACTTATGTTTCCTTCACCGTCGTTGTTCGTCGCAGTACTATCGACAATACTAGCATAATGAGCTCCTTCCAGCTTCTTATCCAACAGCTCGAACGTAGTCCTGGTGCAATAACGAGTACCTCCCCCAGTTCTCTTCACGTTTCATCACAATTGGAACTACACTTAAGAACGACATTATCCTCGCAGCTGTGGCAGAACCTTCCCCAGAACCAATCGATAATCCTCCGAGTGCTCTCCACCTGCAATTGCTAGGTTCCTTGGTGCAAGATAAGTTCAATGGTTTAACCAGCGCTGGTCAATCGCAGAGCGTTAATCGAGGTTCACTTCCTCATCTTCGTCGTTCCGCACCACGTCGTGGCTGCCTTCCATACCACGAATGGAAAATTCGGCACTAGAATATTTTGTAACTCCACGAGACGTGACTGGGTTCCTTCAACTTTCTTGATGGCGACCTCCTCCTGCTTGCGTGTCTCTTCGGCTTTTGCAGCATCTTCTATCTCTCGCCGAGCTACGCAGGAGCTCGCCTTCTAGCCGTTTCCCGTGGGCTTCCTCGCGAAGTTTGACTTCATGCTTTTCTGCAAGTTGTATGTGTGCATCTTCAGCTTGCCTAGCCAACGCAGCTTCGCACTCTCGGGCGGTGCGCGCCTCTTCCATTTCCCGTTGCAGTTGAGCAAGCTCTTCTTCGCGTTGTCGTGTTAGCTGTTGTTGTTCAAGGAGACGGGTTCGAGCACTTTCGACCGCCTGCTTCGCTGCGACACTCTCGGCCTCTTTTTCTGCGTGAGACGCCTTGACTTCCTCTAATTCTTTCTCTCTCTGCGCAAGTTCTTCTTGAAAACGTACTCGTTCTGCTTCCTCCCGAGCACGTTCCCTCTCTGCGGTTTCCATGGCGGACTTCTGTCGCTGCTGCTCAGTCTCTAGTATTGCCAGCCTGTCCCGCTCTCGCTTGACTTCTTGGGCGTGAGCAATATCGGCAATATCTTTTGCGATGCGTGTCTTCTCCATGTCATCAAGAAGACTTTGGAGGTGCTTCTGGTGACCTTCTTCCGCCAGCACTCTTGCCTTACGCTCTTCTCCCAACTCGCGGGCGCGCCGTTTATCCTCTGCCTGCTTGGCAGCAAGAATCTCGCTCGTCCTTTGAGCATGCAGAGTTTCCTGTTCCTCTTTCTCAGTCAGGACTTTGGTGACCTCGCCTTGAAGGCGCTCTAGTTGCTTCTGCTGCTCGGCTTCCATCTGCAGGATCAGAGCCTCGAGGCGTGCGCGCTCGGCAGCGAACTCGGCAGCCATGTGCTGAGAGTTTTGCTCGATGCGCAAGCATTCCTTCTGCTTCTTCTCGAGCTCTTCCTGAAGCTCTCTCCGTGTCTCCTCGTCGAGGGTGTGCATAGCGGCTTCCATCTCTACTCTCAGATTACAGATCTCCTCTTTGTGCTGATCCGCTTGCTCGTCGAGGGCGCGCCTGAGCTCAACACCCGCAGCGGTCTTCTCGATGGACTTGTGCTCGTCGACGATTTCCTGCTGAATGCGGAGCGGGGCAGCTTGGTTGTTGATGAGATAACGAAGGATGGTATGTGCGGACTCGAGGGTGCCATCGTGACGGAGCAACCGAGCACCCTTCTGAAGTACGGGTTTAAAGAATTTGTCCATACTCGCAAGTTCAGCCTCTCTAGCCTCGCCAATCTCACGTGTCACCTGTAACCACATGTTGGTCATGATGATAACGTTTTTGAGCGAGCGCTCTCCGCAAAGCTCCCGGAAAACCTTGAAGTTGCGCTTGGACGTGCCACCCATCCTGAAGTCAGAGATGCGGTGCATGTAGATGACGCCAGCAAGCTTGGCGCCGTATTCGTAGCTGAAGAAACACAGGCGCTTAGCTTGAGGAAATATATTGCAATAGAATCACGTACGTCTTGGAGAGATATGCGGTGATCATGATCAAAATATCCCTATCACTTCGGATCGTATCATCAAAGCCAGGCGTATCGATCAAGGTCACAACACGCCCGTCAACAACAAACGGCCGTGAAATTTGCACTTCGCTAGTGCAGCTCTCAAGGCCGTGACCAACGGGAAGGTTCGACCCGCTAGCCTTATTGATGAACTGTGCCCGGCGAGAATAAGCAGCACATAGCTCGGAACGAGGAGACTTTACGTACCGTCGATTTACCACTACCAGTAGCGCCCATGATGCTAGAAGGAGCGTCAATATATCAACCTGAAGAGACTAAAAGGTACGTACGCAATCCGGATTTCTCTGTTTGGATCCGCCATTGTTGTAGCTCAGTAATTAGCGGATGCAGATCTATGTAGGAGGTACAGTTGTATGGCGAGATAGGCACTTTAGTTGATGTGAGGAACGCAGGCGTTTAAATACGTCTGTGGGCTTATCGATCAGTACCCACTCCTTGCGGCGGCATGGTCTTCACGAGACGCAGCCCCTAACGTGCCCAGCGAAATTTGAGCCCTAACACGTTGTTTGGAGCCTTAGCACTTGGACGTGATCACCACTGAATGAATTTCGGCATATTAGTCTGGCCCGGAAGCAGCCTCGCTGAGCGCAATATTAGTCCATTTTTGAGTGGCGTGTCCGTGATCCTGGGTGACGGCCCTTCTAATAACATTGTTAATCGTTAAAAACAGTACCACAGCTTCAGGAATCTGATGCTGATCAGGGTTTTGTCGGTTACTTATACAGCAATGCATATGGGTATGTTTTTAACATAAATGTAGTCCGTACTACACTACAGTCAGGATTGTCCATATTGTCAACCAAACGATCGCCAAGACAACTGAATTGCGCTAGTCATCCAGCACACGCGTGGAGATGCCCTTCTATTCTCCGAAGTTCTGCTTGATATTTGGATAGGCTAACATCGCAGCTTCGGAGGACATATAAGGTGCGTGGGTAGAATCTACCGTGGACTCGCGTAGAAAATTGGTAGACTCTGTTCGGATAACTCCGCGGAATCTACCGCAATCCACCCGAGTCTACCTGCAGTCCACCCGAGTCTACGACACCACGGGTAGAACGACCAAACAACATTCTCGACTTGTATATCATACTCAACTGCTCCTCATCACCATCATCGATGTCCCCCTCTGATGCCCTTCATGATGGGCATTGGTCAGCTACTTACACCCCTCGATGAGTATGATCTCACTTTCCCTGACCTCATGGCCTTCATTCAGCTTGCATGCATGGTGAAAACCATTCATTCGCCAGTGCATGACTGACATCCAACATCCACCCATCCACCCTCCAGAAGTTGTTGTATCCCTTCTTGCTGGTGCGCTCAGTCAAGACCCACCTGACTATCCTTGCATGCTGGGTAGCATTCCATCAGGTTATCTGGACTCACAGTGCAGTACTCCCAACTGACCAGGAGATTGAAGTATTTAACTATCATGGACTTGTGCGCGGTATTGGTGCGTTGCTGTTCGTCTTTTCTCTTCTTTCACTGACATGTTTTAAACCTCATAGGATATCATGACTTGTATCCACCGACACATGTATGCCAGTGTCCCAAATGTGTGAACTACTGTGATGGTGATGAAGTAGCCACTCTCATGGATGTCAATACATTTTATGCTAGCCTCTTTATGCTATGAGATGGTTCTCTTCCAGTCCATTTGGTATCAACATATTGTCAATGTATGTTCTTTATCTTCTAGCAATGCATACTGACCATTTCATTCAGAATGTCATACCAGATATTACCCCAACTATTGGACTAACAACACCGACTTGACACAGCATTTACTATGCTGGTGTTCCCAGCGTCATTCATGCTGCGAGGCATTTCTATATTGAAGCTGTGCTGTTGGAACTTTTTGCTGCAATGAAAGTCTTCGGATGGTATTGTCATCTTTCTCTGATAATCATAATGCTAACCTTTTGTTCCACTTCCAGGATGTCTAGCATGAACTGTGCTTGCGTGTACAACTACGCACTTGCTCAACGGCATGCCTACATCTTGAATAATAGATGTGCTTTTGATGCTACACTTCCACAAGCTCTTGACAAGGAATTTTCATGGCAGTATACCCTTCGAATGCATGACACTGACATCCCGAATGGTTTTTTTATCTACTCACTGCTACTGGAGAAGGCAGAGAATAACAGTTGCCTTGTTCTCCCCCATGACAAGCAACAATGGATCCGAATTGATGTTGCGCTGAGTGAGTGCAACAAAGAAATGGAAGGTATTGGGCAGGAAGCATACCCACATGCCTGTGACTTATGCTTCATTGTTATTGGTGATGACAACTCAAAATGTAAGTCAATTGTTTGTCAGATGCATGGTGTCATGCTCAGATTCATTACATGCCATAGCAAAAATTCAAGCAGCTGTTTGTGATGGTAATACCATTGGGCACCCATGTTGTGCAGTGCATGACTGCAAAGTCCCACTTATGACCAACTGTCATCGTTTCTGTCCCGACCATCAAGACTTGAACCAGTGGTGCGCAGTTGATGGCTGTGACAAGGTCAATGCCTCTGGATTTTGAACATGTGCCAATGTGGACCACCAGGCTCTTGAAGATGCCTACTTCAAGCCGCAAAAGCTCTCTTCCAGCTGCGAGTGCAGCTCAAGAGGGCTGGTGTTACCTTGCCCTTGGACTCTGTTCCTTCATCCTCAGATAGTGGTAGTAGTAACCCTAACAGCGCAGATGAAGACCTCGAGGTGATTGTTGACTCTGAGTGTGACAGTAAGCTGGAGAACAGCAACAAACACCTCAGAGCAAGGTTTGGTCGGTGCCGCACCCATAACAAGCAACTTATTATGCAACCTTGTGGGGTGATATTAGCATGGGCTATGTTTTTTGGGTCCGAGGCTGTCTCTGCTGTTAATGTGAGTTACACACAGTCTTACTTTGATGCAAGCTAACATTTAAACTCAAGGAATTTGCAAAGGCAGTATTCCCTACTGCCGCATCAACACCTGAATACTTCATCTTTGACAACAACTGCAAGCTCCATGCTCACCAAGACGCTATTGGTGATGACCACTTTGCTGCAACAGGGATGCCTGTTGATGTGTTTCATTTCAACTCAAAACACAAGGAAACTGACACCTACTGTCAGCAGCACTGCAACCCCACCGCTTTCCCAGAGCTCATTTCTGGTGGCAAGTGGCGATTTAATACATCAATTTGCGAACAGACGAACATTTGGCTAGGCGGGTATCAGGCAATCCTGTGGGACATGTCTGTACACTGGTACAACTTTTATCTTGATGAAATGATTAAATGTCGAAACTGCTATGTTATCTCAGAGTTGGAGAGACGAGGGCATTCTCCTTGGATGATTTCCATGGACACTCTGTTTGGTAGTGACTAGTGCATTGACTCCGCTGGTGCTGTTTGCATTACATTGTCTAGATTGTTGTCATTTGTAATTCTATCTCTTATTGTATGTTTTTTGTCCGTGTTTTGAAATGAAAGCCAGAGTTCATCACTTGGGGACTGCACCATTCAGATAACGATACACCCAAAAACTGCCTCCAGAATTTTCGTCATTAACGGTCAAGTTCTCTTCAAAGAACCCCCAGGATTGCCTGGCACTTATCAGTGCTGGAATCAACAACTGCATCATGGCCAACCAGCACTCGGTAAGTGACATGTTTATCTTTTCATGGCTGACCCCATCTCAATAACTGGGCTCATTCTCCCGACACCTAGAAAGTTTCATGGACATCACTCGAGGATCGCACCATTCAGATTCTCGAGTTGAAATTATGACTTGTAGTTATTTTTTTTTTAACATAAGAAGGTTGGATTTCGTGGATAATAAACAGAGTAGTTAGTCTACTAATTAAAAGGTGGTAAGGGTGGTAAGGCTTGATTATCTATGGGAGAATGATCATTTAACCAAGTGCTAAATGAATCAAATTGGGGATAACTCATAAGATCTAAAGGAAATTCAGGATCAGTGGTAGCTGCAGTATTATTATCCATTTTATCTATGTTCTCGAATAGTAATGCAAGAGCATCATTCATCTCGCTGGTTAGGTCAGTAGGGAGTGGCAATCCAGTGTCAGTGGTAGATGGTAGACTCAGAGGTGGGGTAGGACCTGAAGGACAAGGATTAGCTGACCATGGAAGTAGCAAATCAAATCATACATACACTTCATGTCCAAGTTTGAGATGCTACCCAGGCCATTACTACCAGTAAGACTCGGAGCTGCATTAGCTTTGATTTCAGCCAAGAGAGTGTTCCACTGGCTGACAGGGCTATATCCTGCATTGACAGCACATTCAACCCTATCACTTGAATTCTCAATAGCTGCCCAATAGGCAGCAGCAATGCTTATAAAAAGTTGCCTTGGTATAGGTGCAATTTGGAAATGTAGTAGCAAAGAGGGCCTGGATCATTTGATCATCTGATACATTGATGAAGAGCTGAATCTGGGGAACCATATCACATGCATACTTCCAAGGAAATTGCACTTGGGCGCCTGCAGGGATGGTAGTGTTGGGTTGGACCATGGCTGGCACAGGCACTACTACAGGTGACATGTCTAAGTCGCTGGCAGCAAGTGACAGAGGTGACATCACAGTGGGACTTGACAATAGGCTAGTGAGTAGTAAAGGAATGAGCAACTGCCGAGAGATGAGAACTGGGCCCATGGGGTTGTTGCTACTGGCATTCCTCTGCTGCTTCAATGGTGAGGTCATCCCGTCCAATCGGGACAGATGCATACCCATGGCACTAAAGGATCATTTTGATGGAGATTGGACAGTTGCAGGTGCACAACTAAGAGATAAAACCCTCTCGGCAAATCCAAGTAGCATATGATTGTTGGTCAGATCAATAGAACGCAGGAGGATGGTTGAATTGGGAGGACTGAGAAGCGGAGTCTTGATATCTTGCTCAATCCAGGCATGCTGATCACTGCAATATACTGCAATGTAGTCTCCGAGCTCAAATCTCATCAATAGTGGATGGTCTCCTGGCACAAACTTTCCAGGTGTGGTGCACATAAGCTTTACAAGGTGGGGAGGTTCATTGTTCTAGCAATATTCAAGTTGGCTAGTCAGCACCAAGAAACCATCTAATAGATATACAGTGGCTCAAAAAACTGTCTGCATGTTTTGACATTTTTCACTATCTATGATATTGTGTGAGAACTCACAAATGCCTCAAGGACATGGTTATACCACATTGTAGTATGGCTTCAGGGCTTTCATTTGAGCCCTACACCGTGAGAATCGGTGAAGATATGGTGGAGATACAAGGCTTACAAAATGGTGACTCATGTGGACAGTTTTTTGAGCACATATTAAAACTATATAAATCATCATTTATGACACCATAACAATCATGCCACCATTAAATAAATTATAAAGTGGTGTCATTATGTCATTTTAAAACCATATCTAACTATACAAACCAAAAATTTCCATATGTCATGGTTATATTCACCATGAAAGCCACCCCCCCTGCTCAAAGGGATAATATCCTCTCTCTTTCCTATTCTGGCCTCTCTGCTTGTCAAATTTCCTCTAGAACTGGAGTATCCAAGTCCACTGTGGCCAAGTTCATCAAAGAAAGTCACACAGACAAGGAAAACTTCTGTGAAGGGTGTCCATCCAAGCTCACCTCTACTGATAGGAGGGCTATTATTCAACATATCACTACAGGAAAGGCTGATAATGCTGTCCAGGTCACCTATTACATCAATTCCACCATCACATTCCCTGTCTCTTCACACACTGTGAGAAACATTCTCAAGACAGCTCATCTCAGGTCAGTAACAAGGAAGAAAAGGCTCTCCTCTTTATCACACATATGCAGAGATGACTAACCTTTGCCTTAGCCCATCAGAATTGGATTACATGGACTGAAAGCATGTTATGTAATCATATAAGACCACAATAAATAGGATTGGGTCAGATGGCAAGGTATATATGTGAAAAAAGAAGGGTGCTAGTCCTCTCTGCATATGTGTGATAAAGAGGAGAGCCTTTTCTTCCTTGTTACTGACCTGAGATGAGCTGTCTTGAGAATGTTTCTCACAGTGTGTGAAGAGACAGGGAATGTGATGGTGGAATTGATGTAATAGGTGACCTGGACAGCATTATCAGCCTTTCCTGTAGTGATATGTTGAATAATAGCCCTCCTATCAGTAGAGGTGAGCTTGGATGGACACCCTTCACAGAAGTTTTCCTTGTCTGTGTGACTTTCTTTGATGAACTTGGCCACAGTGGACTTGGATACTCCAGTTCTAGAGGAAATTTGACAAGCAGAGAGGCCAGAATAGGAAAGAGAGAGGATATTATCCCTTTGAGCAGGGGGGGTGGCTTTCATGGTGAATATAACCATGACATATGGAAATTTTTGGTTTGTATAGTTAGATATGGTTTTAAAATGACATAATGACACCACTTTATAATTTATTTAATGGTGGCATGATTGTTATGGTGTCATAAATGATGATTTATATAGTTTTAATATGTGCTCAAAAAACTGTCCACATGAGTCACCATTTTGTAAGCCTTGTATCTCCACCATATCTTCACCGATTCTCACGGTGTAGGGCTCAAATGAAAGCCCTGAAGCCATACTACAATGTGGTATAACCATGTCCTTGAGGCATTTGTGAGTTCTCACACAATATCATAGATAGTGAAAAATGTCAAAACATGCAGACAGTTTTTTGAGCCACTGTAGAAGACCATACTTTCAACCAAAGCACTACATCAACCATATTGCAGATCATGATACTCAGACTTTTGTCAGCTTGAAAGTGTTGCTCAGCCACCAATGTCCACTGGTGCCCGAGAACATAGTTCTGTGCGTAATTGGGGTCTAATGGCCAAGCATAGTTTCATGAAGTAGCCAGGAGTGACTGAGTACTAGTAGCTAAAGATTGTGATGCACTCGCTGATGATGAATTTGATGTAGTAACTAGAGGGTGATCAAGTTAAGTAGACATGGGGTTAATGGTGGCAAGTGGTGGTACAATCAAGTTTTCATGCTGTTGAGTAGCAACAAGAGAAGATGCGGCTGCAACTTGGTGGACCCTACACCCTCCCGCCACCTCACAACACTGCTTGCAGTTGCGTCATATGCAGTTTTTGTTGGCCTTCTGTGGCTGAGTGCCTTGCTTCAAGTTGTGGCAGTCAGCCTTGGTACACAGGACCATATCAGCCATGCAAACATCCAGCATCAGCCACTGCTTGTTGTTGGAAGAAAAGTACTGTGAACGCACTACAAAATTTATACTGAGACAGCAATCAATATCAGGACTTGTCCAGGTGTAGGTCCAACTTACTAGTGACATAGTAGTGGCTTGGTGAAATAGTGGCAGGTCAGATGGTGACGAGGCAGACGGGCACAAGGCAGACAGGCAGACAGTGAGATAGTGGGGGGCAGATGGTGAAAACACTGGCTTGCCATTGTCATATATATGCCAGATGCTGTTGCAGGCAATGATCACAGCCGAGCAATGAGCTCTGGTGATGTCGTTGTTTGGTTGATCTACTGAGACCGAGTTGAGTCTATGCAAGTCTACAAATGGTCTACGGAATTGGTTCACTTTCCACGAAAAGAATTTCTAATGCTCCCAGATTTTCTACACATAGTCTATTGTATAGTCTACCCACATACTCTCAAAGTTCTGCAGCTTCATTTCGCACACATAAAAACTCCACTTCCATCTTCTCCGACTCCTGGAGCTCCATTTACGTCTAGGACCTGAGACAAACGTTGTCCCTTGAGGGTGTCAATGAGTCAATCACATTCCGGATATTGGCAGCTATCATAATAGTTGTGAGTGAATACATTGTATGATTAGTAATATGGGCCATGGACTTGTGTTAGCGCTTACAAAATATATGCAGACCCAGATGGCCAGACAGAGCCAGCATGCGCACTATGCAATCTCCAGTTCCCTCCAGAAATGGATGACTGAGGTAGCAGATTTCCTGATCAACGAGATAATTACCTTTGGACACGACCCAACATAGTTTTACAGCTCTCCTCAAGCTACACATTCTGGATATGACCAGAATATGGTGCTGGTCATTGTTGTATTCATAGCACCAAATAGGAGAGCTACTCATATTTTTGGATATATATCAACTGTGAGGACTCTGTGTTGGACTCCAAGAGATCTGAGAGCACCAAGACTGAAGGATCTGAGATAGAGAAGGGAAGTGAGTGAGAGGTACGAGCACAAGCCAAAATGGGCAGAGGCGAGCGACGTATTGACATCAGCTTGTGCCCTACATTATTTTCTATGTTTCATTCTTATATCTGAGTCATAACAGTACTCACCTTAAAAGTGTCAGTAGAAATGCCCTAACATCTCAGTTCTTTCAAGATACTGAGATGTAAGCCATATTGTCACCCGCATGCTACAAAGTCTAACGATAATGTAGTGTACTTGTTGTATAGGTAGATGAGACATTAACAGAGTTCTTTCAAGATACTGAGATTGTACTTGTTGTATAGACTCCTCGCCCCTCCATCAGGAAAAAACAAAAATTGTAGGAGTCCTGGTGACGCCTATATAGTCCTATATAGTCACCATAGGTCTATGTAGTTCACATAGCTGTAACTCAGACTATATAGAGCTACAGTGGGCTACAGGAGGCTACAGCGGGCGCTGGTAGTAATCAGGAATCGCAATAGCAAAATTTCAGTTCATAGTTGATAGTAGCTGAGTAGTAACAAAACTAATTAATGGCGGACATGCAGAATGTATCAAGGTCGATAAAGGTATTTAAGTAGAAATCATTTGCCAACTCATAGACATTTGTACTGGTCCATCCACGGTCAACAGACTGTCCCATCTTTGGAATGAGATGACACAGACGAGCAATTTCGTCAACATGGATCACCACTGCATTCTGGTGCAGTTGACAAGTTGAACATGACACCTGGTGCAGGCCAGAGGAGGTATCTGGCATCCTAAGTAGAGTGAACCACTTAATGTAAGCCAAAGCTCAGGAGTATGCCCCAAACTGATGAGGCAGAGTGAATATCACACGGACTTGTGCAACTTGTACACCTACAGTATTTATGTAAATTTTCTGATGCACTGAAATAATGATCATTTACCATCTAACACCTGCAGATTCAAGGTCTGAACACTATCGCTCACCAAGACCATGTCAAACTTGGCAGGGGACCCAGGCTTCTGGCGAGGACCAGGAGATACTTCAGGTGTCACTCTAATGCACCACCGTTGTGGTGAATCACTTACACGCAGATCCGGTGGGCAGCAATTATAACTTGTCGATAAACATTGAAATGGTCTTGTGGACCTGGGAACGATGATATTGTGCAGCATATGCTTGTCTAGGAAAAATTTGAGGGCAGGAAGAAATGTGACTGTGCCATGTGCAGTGGCAAGCTGGTGAATGGACTGCCAAGGGTGTGCAGGAGTTTTGGCAAGAATGTGGACAATGCATTGGCCAGCGATGGGAGGTATTAGACTTGCTTTGGTGGGAGTAGCACTGTGAGTGCATGACCCAGATTGCAAGTCTTCTATCTCAGAATCCGAGCCTGAATCATTGCTGTACTTGTGGTCTGTGCGATTGGCCATGCTCACCGACTGATCTGACAGCCATTCGAGATAGGAACCACATAAAAACACTGCTTCCTGGCATTGAAGCCACAAAGCCATTTGTTCCTCATAATCACGCTTATTGCTAGCACAGTAAGCTTCTTTAGCAAAGTCAATATGCAGTCATTCAGGAAGCTTGGTGTTGAAACCGTTGGTAGTACCGAACAATGAGATGGACTGGACATAGTGCGAGAGTTGGTGTAATTTAGGGATATTGAAATGATCTTGAACTTCGAGTTCGTGCAAGATTTCTTTGTTGGCATGAAATACCAAAAGGGTGCTCTCCAGATGATCAAGGGTGTCAACTGTGTGTATTTGAAGCTGTGCATAATAAGAAAAATCTAGAATAGCATGTGCAACCACCAACACTCCACTGGTAAATATTCAAAATTGATTCTGTCAGTGTGAGCCTTGTTAAGCATGTTTGAAGCATACCTTGGTACTGCACCAGCAAGCAACTCTACAAAAACACGCTGCATCTGCTTGTGTTCTGTACCTGTCCATTGTTTCACTGTCGAGATTCCTTTTTTGAAGTACTGAAGACCGGATAATCCGGTATTGCTTTGAAGCATGCGTCCATTTCAGCTTCGCCAACAATATCAAGGCGCCATTTAACCAAGTGATCTTTGAAGATGCCCTTGTGGAGTTGGTGTAGGAGATCAGGTGTGAAGGCAAGGAAAATGTCTGTGTGTGGAAGATCAGCCCAAAAAGGATGATAGACAGTGCATAATCCATAGTCTTTGAATTCAGCTGGATGCTGACCATCTTGTCGCTTCTTCAATATCTCTTTTATCAATGGAGGGTCCCGCATTGGTGTACTCAGTGGATCACCTCTTTCATCTGCTGTGACCAGACATTTTGGGCAACAGTTCTCCTTGCGACATGCAACCAGGCATTGTTCAGGGAAATCCACCACATATGCTGCAAGGATCAGGTATACTTGGCAGATCATTGAGTCAGCGCATACCATTTCAATGCCATTTTGTCCTGCAGCAATGAGCAGTTGCAGCAGGAGGGACATACAATGGTGGAAGAGTTGGTAACCAGCAAGGGAGCATGTATCTGATGTGAAGCATTTGAGTTTTCCTGCAGGCAAGTACCCAATCAGGACTGTTGCTCATGCTGACAGCTGTTGCCTTTTTCTTTGGCAATGTTGCCGATTGAGAGGTATACAGGCCATGCAGATTTGTCACCTCGGAACTGTGACAAACATGTCTTGTCTGAAGCAAGAATGATAGGTGCTATGGTTGCTCCTTTCAGTAACTGTTTCTGGATGTTGTAGGTCAGTCTTTGCTTAACTTTTTGGATCGCATACTCACTTGCTTTTCACCCCACCAATCTGCAGTCCACATGTCATCAATTACTCAGTTAAGTCCTGCAGAGTCTGTGTATGCTCGTGCAGGTGCATACACCATATGATCCTTGAATCAAGGATTTCTGATCAGGTCTTTGATGCACTCTGCATCCAAAGCTCAACATCTTCATGCAATGGTTCACCCTTCTCATCTGTTTGGTTTCCCCAGACACTGATCTTCTTGCAGCTCCAGGCAGCTCCATGCGGAAGTTCATCGACCTTCTGGAGGAATGATTGGTTGTTGTGGAATGATGGTTGCATTCAGTTTCGTGTCTGTCACACCAGTAAGTCCAATTCTTTCAGCGGTCAATGTGAAACTTACTATCGGCAACTTTAGAAAATCATCGGTTTGGGTCTGGCCCAGACTTTTGACAAGCCACTCTGTGAGTCCCCATTCTTCCCTGGCAACTGAAATCAATCATTTTGCAGAGGAGATGAAGATAACAGGGTACATACTCATCGCAAAAAGGTGCCCACTCGTCCTCACCCATGCTTTTTTTATACTTCCAATAGCTTTCAAAACCAGTTTCTCCCTCCCGCAGTGTCCATCCACCATCAGTCAGACATTCCTTGAAATATCACCCACTATTTATTTTCACACCATCTTCATCAGCAACCTCCTCGATGGTCACCCGCTGACTTTTCAGTGCTGGTGGGTTGTCTTGATCAGCATCAGAGGACTTGGAACACAAGCAATGAAGTGGCAGGCCAAATGAGCTGCCAACGTCATCATAAGCAAAGTCCACTTGTGGGCCATCTTCATCACAGGTGGCCTCAGTTTCTTCGATCGTTAACTCCCATGCCCTTCTACATTCAGGGCGGCCAGCTATGTGTCTCTTGACACCACCCCTCATAGGGAACTCCTTGCCACAAAATACATAGCACTGGGGCATGGTTGGTGAGCATTTTGAGTGAGTGTTTTGATTCTGATTTGTAATGTGACTACTTAAAATAATTTTCATGCGCCCTGGTCTGGGCTCAATCTAGGCACACCGAGAACACAGTCAGTTATGGAGACTAGCCATCCATGTTGGTTTTGTTGATTGGGAGGACAATCCATGGGGTGCAGTGGATGGCACTCCCAAGAACCCACATGAACGCAGTTGGTCATGGAGACTAGCTCCCATGGTTTTGTTGATTGGTAGGACAATCCATGGGGTGCAGTGGACGGCACTCCCAAGAACCCACATGAACACAATCGGTTATGGAGACTAGCTCCCAGCACTCCCAAGAACCCACATGAATGCAGTTGGTTATGGAGACTAGCTCTGTTGTTTCACCAATATTGGTAGGCTCTCCTCATCACAAGGTTCAAGTTTATTTTCCTGGCACAACTCCATAGCATTTCTGACATGTGCCATAATTTTTTACCAGATGACCATACCTTCTGGTTGCCACACTACACTAGTTTCAAAATATCATGGGTGGCCAGAAGCAATTCTAAAAGTTGCACCTGCTTCACCTCCTCACAATGCTTCACTTCTGCATCCCAGTGCTCACTAATGAGTCTTCGGAAGCTTGCTTGTAAGAGGCTAGGAGTGCCAGAGCCTGGTGCTAATTCTAATAGTTGCAATTTTTTGGCATTCTCGCAGGCCTTCACTTCTGCCTCCCAGCGCTCTAAAATGAGCTTGCACAAGTATAATTGGGAAACCAAGATGGGGCCTGGAGTCTGACGAAATGGAGGGCGCAGGAACATTGGGCCTGTGTCAGGCTCTTCGAGCTTTGGCCTGCAGACCACTGGTAAGTACATTGGGGTAATTGGGAGGGGCAATGGGATAACTGACCTTTTGATCTCAAGTTTCCCATCTTTACAGGCAGTGTCTTTGTGACCGGCAGATGGTGACATTGTGCTGGAGGATTCATCAGAGTGTGGTGAGTGTTTGAAGCAAGCTTTGTACCGTTTTTTTGTAAAGTTGAGGGTATCCATGACAGTGAAAAAATATTGTGACAGTACACTCAAATCTTTTTATCATTTCTTCCATTAAACACACACAGCTTTTAGCCAAATGAGCCCTGGAATCAACGAACAATCAAGGTTCAATTGTGAGTTGTTTGTATGTTTTATGGTCTTATATATTTTGCTAACGCTAATCACACCTTGTACTCTAGCGAGCATGGCACCTCATACTAAGGCTGCCTCCAAGCAGCAAAAATCCAAGCCCACCTCATCAATGCCTGCAGCACTGCTGAATGTGCGCACTGCAAGTGGTCAAGAGCGTCGACCAACTGAAAAAGAATCCTACCATTGTGAGTACTACTAAAATATTGTATTTTACTCGCTCATGATCCTCTATAGTTTTTGAATCTCAACATATTACCCGTCGCCAAGAAGTCAAGCAACAGAAGTCAGAAAAGCAGAAGAAAAAGGCACTGAAGGCCACCTACCAAGACTGTCCCAACAACTTTGAGCAAGAGCCTTTGGAGCTGCATAGCAACATCAACAGGCAAGAAGATATGATGGTCTGAGCTTTTATCTTTTTTCCTAACTTTAATGAGCCACTGACCATACTTTATTCAGTTCTCCGATCACAGCATCAAGATGAAGTTGTCAAACACTAGTGCCCTGAAGTTCAGCGCAGGCAAAATTCCCCCAAGATGGCACCATAGTGACACCAGCACACACATAGCGCCTACTAGTACTGACTTGAACATGAAAGGAAAAAAGGGTATGTGTTTACTCTATCAATTTTAGCCTGACTACCCTAATATCCCTCTGTTTAACTTTATCCAGCACCACAAAGCAACTTGAATGCAGCCAATACCCATCTCAATGATGCCCCAGACGACACTCCTACCTTGGACGCTGATGACAATGACAGGTCCGAGTCAACTGACCTGGATGACAACAATGATGACAACAACACTGGTAAACCATTGCCAATAGCTCAGGGGACCAAGCAACAATTCAACATGTCCTTAGAAGATGTCCTGATAGTCCCAAAGGTCAAGAAAAATTCGGACGGTTCGCATCAATGTGTCAAAGCCAGCAACTTTGACAACATCTCCAAAGAGATTCTCACAATGGCCTGCTCAATTTTTCGATGTCTGATTGTCACACGAGCCCCATTTCCTGATTTTGTTGCCATCGAGACAAATTTGGCCAAAGAGGCCTGGCACGAGGTGTGCAAAATTAAAGATATTGATGTCAGAATAACACCGTTAGCAGTCAAAATGGTAAGCAATCTGTTCATACCACGTTCTAGGTCTGATTGATACAAAGCTCTTAAATTGCACATCACATGTGCGAGGTGAACTCAAAACCAAGATGTGCTTGCTGACTAGTTCTTTTTATGGTTTCTGGGCAAGTAATTCCATGCAGGTGATGCAACAGAACCGAAATCAGGCAGAGTCGTTGAAAGCCAATTCAGCCTTTATATTCAAGGTACGCAGACGACAATCTACATTACTGTGTGCTGACATTGGGTAATAGGACTGGTCATCAAAGAAGGGCATCTACAAAACTGAATTGCTCCAAGAGGGCATCAACCTCATGTGGTTCTCGAATCGGAATGACGAGGGCCTCATCTACCATAAGTACTTCAATCCCTTTCCTGTTAGAGCTCTCGCACTCGTGCTTACAGCTGTGAGCTGATTTTGTATTCAAGTTCTTATGAGGGCACTAACAATGTCTTATTTGTAGATTGAATGTTGTATCGACAAGTGGCTGCAAGGCATCAAAGAAGACACCAAGTCCACATCCACTACATACGGACCTGTCTACAATAGTCATTTGGGCTCACTGCTGCGCTTTGATGAGCGCACCGCACCTTACAAACTCCTCGAGAGAATCTGTACCAATCTGCATGACATAGGCCAGTATGTTTTGACTTACTCTAGTATTCTAACATTCATGCTTCGAAGTTTTCATGCAGGTGTTGAATCACTCGGTCTGTCATCGGCTAGTACTACATCTCAGGTCCACACTGAGAACAAGGCCTTCGAAGACGCCATTCGAGAGTACCAGCTGGAGGAGCAGGATGACGCGGGGGCTCATAGCAAGAGTGGCGGGCTTATAGATGCGGATGAAGAGGAGGAGGATCTGGAGGCTTGTAGCGAGAGTGGCATGTTTACAGGTGCGGATGAAGAGGAGGATTGAGTAGGACATTTATACTATACTATCTCGTGTGTCGGGTACCCAAATTCAGATGCGATTGGTTTTTTTTGCACGCGATTTAGCTGCTGGTTGCTGCGCACTCCAACAAACTATGGGTGCTTTTGTGTGCTATATAGCTGTGGGTAGTTGCATGTAGTAGCACTCCTACGAACTACAGTAGTACTTCATAGCTGCTACGTGATACTATGTAGTACAGCGCTGACTACATAGAAGGGACTTGACTACGGAACTACACGCACTACCCTGACCATATAGGTCTATATAGTCAACATGTTTTTTCCTGATGTCTCGCTCGTCTCATAACAAGACTCTGCATCAATGGAATCCATCATCTATGATGTTGATCATGATGTGATACTAATGAGCTGCACATGTTTAGTAACAATTGAGAACGATGTTTGTTCTTGAAGTCGTCGGATGGATTTGATACCCATTCGATGATCGGCTTGGGATTTGGAGGGTTTTGATATCAGGAATCTGATAGTGAGCAGTTTATTCCGAACGTCGGTATACAAGTCCGTCTAATCCTCTTCAAGGCATCTAGTGATTCCATGCGCATAGTGCTCGAGTACCTGGTTCAAGTGATCCGAACCGCATTTCATGCAGAGTCGACTAGTACTATGGATGGTTCCCAACGTGCGTCATACACAAACCACCGAACCACGTGGACCACCGTCTCTAGCTGCACTCTGATACGCTTCGTGTGCTTGTACAGTGCCATATTCCGAGTCTTATGGACAGATGGTGAGCGCTGAACCACTGGTGCATTTCAGCGCTCACCATGTGACAAGACAGTTCCACGACTCAGGCTATTTCAATGTTTAACGTCAGAGTAAGGAGCTGCCTGAAAGTGAGTCGTGCTCTCTAGTATGTTCGTGCGACTCAGCATGTACTTCCCTAGTCTAACGGGCGTGCTGGAACACCTGTAGAGTAATATAAAGTTACGCTCGACATTTTGTCTTGTATCTGTGCCCGTATCGAAGTTCCTATAATGCGTTCTGAAAGTTTATTTATTTATTTCGCTAGTTCATACTCCTGTAACAGGATATGCGGGAACTCGGACTCTTGCGGAGCGATGGTTGAAGGCCCCTTAGAGCAATCTGAAGATAAGTCTCACTCGTGCCTTTTCAAATCGTTTGTTCCTTTTTGCAGCTCGTTTGCATGCGTAGACCATATATGGACTCAAGCATACAGCTTCTTTGCGCTCATGGGTAGTTTCATACTCAGTGTGAACGGGAAACTCCACCACAGCTTGATGAGGTACTCAAGCTGATGGTGCATTTATACCCTAACGGCTGTGACTTCGCCAGCGCCTCTGAAGATAATTGGCAATGCCTGTGGGAATCGTTGTTGCAATCTTTGGCTCATTTCCTCAACTCGCCACCCATAAGTATCCCACGCAACACCAGAGTTCCAACATTTTCGATGGAAGTACACCAGAATATACTGGGGAGGTATTGTTATTTTTAAGGGAGAACTCTTGAATGATGTAGTGGGTTACCAGGACTGGGAAATCTACGCACCAAAGGAAGCATAGACGGTTACGGTTAGGGTTACGATCAGCCACTATGACATGCACGAAGCACGCGCAGGACTAACACTAATGGCCGCTCCAGGACTGCTAAGAAGGAAGAGTCGTGATTAGCTGAAAAATTGCTCACTGAACCGACGACCCAATTTGACGGTAGTTGGCCGAAGAGAAGGTAAATTAAATCCTGCCATTGAACATGCATTAAGCCTGGGTCATCACTGTCAACTGCTTTTGGACAACGGTGGGTACTTATCGTGAATGCTATTAGAACAGAAGCTCGTATGTAGATGTACACGTTTAGTAGTTGAGCCTCATCAAACCCGTTCTTGAGGCGCTAGCGACCCTTCGATGCTGTGGCGATAGACTTAAAGGTGCTGATTGGTGGATATCAGACATTGCACTGATGTGGTGCGGTTCATCCAGGTAGAATACTCCCGGTGTCTTGAAGGGTGTCAGTTGTTCGGGCATATACAATTGAACCGTGGCAACCGCTCGCCCAGCCCTTGAAAAACTGCAGTCAGTACGATATCTCATAGGTTATTCGTGATGACCACACCTACCTTCATACACTGGAAGCGCTACAACTTAAGCGCCACTGCTCAACACGGCCACCAGCTGAGCTTGCAATGAAAAGTCAGGGGCACTGTCACTGTCGGTCAGGACTGTTATGAACCAAAGCCGTCGAGGTTTGAACAAAGAATCAAAATACTCATCAGCAACCATACAACAGTGAAATAGCAAGGAGTTTTCGAAAGTGTGTGAGATTGTTGGAGACAGATGTTGGACCAAGCCGCCGCAGTTCGGTTCGCTTGAGCTCGTTGAGCCACCCGATCGAGAGATAAATTATGTAAAGTGCTTGAGCCTTTGTGGCTTGCGTGCGCACGATCATTTATGTACTTCCTGACACGCTGCAAACATCAAGCAAACATTGCAAAGTACTGCCTTGAGATGACGCCCGCCAGTAAAATACAAATAGTGAGCATTGTACCGCGTACTCACCCAAAAGTGACATCCAACAATGCGCTTACTGGTACTTTTCTGCGTCTTCCTTTACCTCGTTGGAGTCATCCGAGCTGCACCTACAACAAATACAACAAATACTGCTACTAGCGACAGTTTTAAAGCCCCATCATTCACGACTAGAACCATATGGTCCATCATCTCTAGCTCCGTTCTCACTCTATTTGCGTGCACATACAGTGCCATTCATCCCAATATTCCGAGTCTCAAGGACAGCCCCCTTCGTCTCCTACGGCGGCGACTTGGGATCATGATAATGGCACTAATTGCTCCTGAACTGATCATCACATGGGCTATGCGCCAACTGATCAGCGCTCGCCATGTTACAAGACAATTCAAGGAATCAGAATATTTTAAGGTTTCTCAGCCGCAGGAGCAGTCTGAAAGTGAATCATTTCTTCTGAAACTGGATATATTCCTCGACAACTCACTATGCATCCCGAATCATTTCTTCATGGCTCGCCTGTTCCTCAAGATTATGATAGCACCAGGCCTCTCGTAGCGCATCCCGAAGGTGAACCATCATCCATACTTGTGTGTCTTTGGCAGTTTATTTTAGTACACCAGTGCCCACTTCAAGACATGTGGGAACTCGTGCTCTTGCGAAGCCACTCCAAAAGCTGTTTAAGGCTTGTGTTTCAGAGCAATCTGAAGGTAATCTCGATTCGTGCTCATCCAAAATGTGACTCATGTGCATCCTTAGATTTTACGTGGACTCAGACGCACAGCTTCTTTGTGCTGATGGGTGGTTTCATGCTTCATGTGGATGGGAAACCCTACCTTACACTACAGCCTGATCACATTCTCAAACTGATACGTAAAGAGTGTATAGACGTTCCTACCCTAACAGCAGACCAGATCCAGGACAAGAGCAAAGGCAATGCGATATCGAAAGGACTGGTCATGCTTCAGGTGGCCTGGTTTGTTATGCAGCTCATCACCCGCGCCATCTATCACCTCGAAACCACCCAGCTTGAAGCGGGAACACTCGCATTTGCGGTTCTCAATTTCCTCACCTATACTGTGTGGTGGAACAAACCTCTCAATGTGCGATGTCCACATCCAGTGTACTGGAAGTCGACCGGGTCAAGGCCAGAGGATCACGTATAGTATGTGTGTGCCTTGACAATCATACCACTGCTGATTATGTCTGCCTTAGTGTCGAAGGAGACGAACTCGCTTGGCTTGGGATCTTGGCTCCAGTCTTCCGTCCAATTGCAGGACAGATAGGCTCGCGTCCCATTCCCACATCTCAACAGCTCCGAGTTCCAACATTTGGTGGCAGCATCAAACTCGTACATTCGGACAGGACGGTTCTTAGTCTCGCTGCATTGCTTATAGCAACCGTATTTGGCGGCATCCATTGTATGGCTTGGTTTTTTGCCTTCCCCACATACCAGGAACAGGTGCTATGGCGCATGAGTGTTGTCGCTATAACCTTCACACCTTGGCTTTGTTTTTTTGTTAATCTTACAGGAAATTTAGTACAGAAGGTCGCTGTGCTCGCATATGGCCTGATTCTTGTCACATCTGTCATATTATACATCACAGCTCGTGCCTTCCTTTTGGTACTTATGTTCACCACTTTACGCAATCTTCCTCCTGACGCATATGAGGCGGTGTCCTGGACCAATTTAGTGCCGCACTTGTAATTCTTGATCATGGTACTTGTCATGCACTTCGCACTTTTGTAATGATATTCAGATGCGGCATTCTGATGGTCAATGATGGAGCTAGGTACATACTACACAAGTTGTTTTGCAACCCGCTATGAACGACGCGATCACGTGACCTGCACGTATGGCGTGACTCTGCCCAAGTCTTGCTTGAATTCGCTCATTACCATGGACGGCAGTGAAATAAGGCTGTTTGGTACGCTGCGGTTAACGAAGCGGACGACTGACAACTAGCAGCATTCTCGGTCGACGAGGACGCAGGTACCTTCAAGTTCGGGCGCGTCCCGACGTGCAGTGTTCATCTCTATCACCCCGAGATCAGTGCTCTGCACGTGGAAACTGTGTTTCTGGAAAGACAGGTGTGTAGTTTATTTACCTATGATACCTACATAAACTGACATCTTGAGAAATGAACCATTTGCGTTGGCAGGCTTTCAATCCTCGTGTTTGGCGAGCAGGCCTCACCATCGACTGCTGTGGATGGAGTGAAGACCAGACTCTGGAGGGCACGAGTGAGTGAGAAACGTTACAACTGAAATTTCCTTGTATAATGTTCGCGATACCGATCATAGATGATATATTGATATCCTGCACTTGTAGTAGCCTGCCAGAGTGCCGTTCGCTTCTCGACCTCATAGCCGTCAAGACACCTCTTTCTGGCACCAGTAGCGATGAAACCATCAAGGTCCACTCGATCTGTGTGCTCTGCGAACTATCCAATAGAATGGATAGCAGAGGATTGACAGAGACTCGAGAATGGAGTCGTTCTTGACACCGATGGGATATGATTGTGGCGGAAAGGGAATCCCGCAGACGTGCATCACTTTATCGACAGTTTTAATAAGTGAACATCGCTTCTCAAACTGGGAGGAAGGTGGTTCTTTTATTAGCATCGTTTTCCCGCTGGACCTGTACGCTGAGACCAGATTGCTCTAGTCTCCACCAGTCAGACTACACCTAACCTAACCGTACCCTGAATAATTCCCTCTCCGTATCTCAATATGCATACTGTCCTTGGTTCGACATCTCGGCCCCTCGCACATGGGCAACTACACAGCTTGATGGTGGTGTCAAGACCATGAAGACGGCACGATATGTTTATTAGTTCCGATGTATCCTTCAGATGACGCAATTTGCATCAAGGTGAATGTGCAAACATAGTGTGCAAGCAGCAATATGACTTGTCGTTGTAGTGGAAGGGCCAGTAATATCATATCCATGACTCCAGGTGGGGGTCATCGTGTATATGTCATGAGAAGTGTTTGCTGGTATCAGAGTCATTTAAAGTTCACACCGAACTGCGACTATACAGTCATTTTCTTGACCCAACGGACGACCTCTGAGTGGCATTTTGATGGCGTAGCTATCCGTTTCGCGGCAGACTGTTAGAAGGTAAGAGGAGATGTAATTTTTTTTGCAGGGCTAAGGTACAAGCTGGGGCTAGTCCGGGCTGCGTCTCTGGCACTCCCTGTGAAGCGGACTTATGATACTATTTCGAGAGTGGTGAGATCATACCTTCCTTCATTTATCCGAGTTGACCCCAGCGGTTTTCGTATTTAAGCAGACACGTCATATCACTGCAACCGGTTTGCTGTCACCCGCAGGGCGCTTTCCTGTGATGAAGGGCTTGTTCGTGGCATCCCTTAACAGAGGAATAAGCCCTTGCCTCAGCGTCATATGACTATTGCGGTCAGTATGTGTTGTACGCACTTTAAACGCACACTTTTCCCTGCATGCTACATCCCTTTCTAACTTCTCCTTTGATCTTGGAAGTCAGACTTGAATTCTGAACATCTTCACTCATACGGGCTCTGCTAGCAGAATTCCATATCAGTATGTATCCGTCGATTTCAGCGTCCCAGTGGGGTTCTCCCACTGCTCCCAAGAAAGCTCTGCTTATTCATGGGTTGACTGCGTGCTCGAGTTCATGGGAAGGTGTCGCTCAGCTATTAGTAGCAGAAGGTCAGGTTTTGTGATACTATGACAATCATGCTCGTTTTTAACAAGCTTTCACAGGATTCTTTGTCGTGGCTCCGAATCTCCTTGGGCATGCATGGAGACGGGGCACCGACTTCCGCATGTCTGCCCTTGCAGAGGACCTCCGACTATACTTCATCAATGACATGTCCTACGACGTGGTTGTAGGTCATTCTCTTGGAGGCATAGTCGCCCTTTCGCTCTTGCAATTCTTGCCCAAAACGAAGGAAGCCACTGTCATACTCGTCGACCCCCCTCTCGATATTGAAAGTACAGCCGAAATCTATAAAAGTTGGTTTCTGGATGAAATCGCGAATGTCAAAACCACCGAGGAGCTGGCTGATGACTTTGGTTGGTCACAACGTGACTGCGTGTTACGCGTACTAGGATTTACAATGTGCGACCGCACCACCATCGAGGGAGTCTTCTCGGTAATATTGCAACTATGGACATGCCGAATGTTGCTGACACCTTTGTCGTTGTTGTGAATAGCATAACAGGCCATGGTCTTTCAGTGGCCTGTTCAAAAACATCCCCCCTCACGTGAAGATCACCGTGCTGGTGTCAGATCCGATGTTCGGGGCTGTTTGTCTTCTAGAACATGTCCCTTGTGACGTTGAGAGACTGAATGTCAGGGTCCTTCCAGGCATCGGCCACTGCATTCAGTGGGAGCGTCCAGATATTATCATGGATGCAATCCAACCACCGAGAGCGAAGCTTTGAGCCGTGTGAAGGAGATGCAGTGTTTTGTGGCCTAGTTTGTGTCTGTGACTTTTTGTTGGAACCTGGCCTTCGTTCGTGCATGGGGTGTTGCAAGGCATGCAGTAGTCCAATTATGCCAAGGTGTCAGTCTCAACCTTGAAAGAAAGGTGCCATGGTCCCTTACCACTGCTGCAGCTCAACTTCATCAAGTTTTTGGGTCCATGTCAAGAGGTACCATGACCCGCTACCTTGGTGTTACGGTAAACTGTAGGTCGACTAGGATAGGCGCGACAATAGACACTCGATAAGAGTGACGTCTAAAGTTGGGTCGTGACCTTACAAATGTAAGGGTTTCTTAAGACAAGTTAGAGAGAGTGTCTCTGACTTGAATATCGATACAGACGCTTAAGATTGGGGGTCTTAAGCGAAGGATGTTCTGGGTAAAACCTAGTAGATTAAAGTGAAGTCTAGCTAAGTACAAGACCCTGCTTATATAGGTAAGACCTGCTTTAGGGCAGTACGTACACGTCATTGAGACGAGTCAGAGATAAGAGAAATGACATCAGCCATCGAGACGAGTCAGAGATAAGAGAAATGACGTCAGCTAACGATGGCACGAGGCGGTTGCGCTGTGATACATAGGTAAGCAGAAGAAAAGAATAGTCTAGTGATGGCACGGTTAAGTACGGTCATGACGTAATACAGAGGAAGATAACGAAGAGAAAATGATAGGGGGTAAACGTTACTGTAACACTTGGAGCGCTTTCCGTTTCCTGAGAGAGGCCGTGCTGTGGGGCATTTTCGACTCAATAGCATTGTATCTTTGATTACAACTATAAAATTGATCTCACTCACCATTATAACCATGTCGCCTGCAGTGATAGTCGGTATAATGCAGCTACCACAGAACTCATCGACAATCCCCTGCACCGAGGTAGGGAGGAACCGCCCGGATACTCTTGCTGCCTAGAGAGTTCTAGACGTGCGGACCTCAGACCACTTGTAGTTTTGATGACGGAAATCAGGTCGTGTTTACAATCACCGACTCTCAACGTTGCGCCTGTTTCACATCACGGTGTTGCAACATTATGGGACATATTTATGGAGGGAATGGGTGAGCCTAGGGTGAGCTAGGTTCTTTCTCTTGCCTTCCGAGTCAGAATGCTTAACCTTGTGTTTGCTTTCGCCAGCAAGTTCATGCATGGAATGATGTAGCATGATACGTACATGTGAGAGAGAAAGCTGTAGCACACTGTCAATGATAACACTATCAGATACCATCGGACAACCCATGTCTAAGCCCATGTTTCTGGCATTCATTGCCAGGAGCCACTATCGGGAGGCATGAAAAGTGGAGGTGCGGCCCGAAATTCGTCATCTATGCCAGATCTCACAAATAAAATTCTTACCTGCAAAGCACGGGTCTAATTGTGGAGCTCACCCAGGTCATCTTGCCAATTGGAACAGAGTTGTCCCTTGGTCAGAGACCTTATTGGGCCAACTTGCAGGGTTACCCGTCTGGCACACTCCCTGTGAAGCGGACAAATGATCCTGTTTTAAGAGTGGTGAGATCAAATTTTCCTTCACTTACCTAAGTTGACCCCAGCAGCTCTCGCATTTACATAAGCAGACACGTCATATCACCGGAATCGGTTTGCCATCAGCCGCAGGGCGCTTTCCTTTGATGATGGGGTTATTCGTGGCATCTCTTGGGATAAGCCCTTGTCTGAGAGTCATATGCTATTCTGGTCAGTATGTGCTGTACGCCCTTTAAACGCACACTTTTCACTAATGCTACTTCCCTGATCAACTCCTTCCTCGATCTTGGAGGTCAGACTTGAACTCCGAACCTCTTCACAACACGGGCTCTGCTAGCAGAATTCCATATCAGTATGTACCCGTCGATTTCAGCGTCCCAGTGGGGTTCTCCCACTGCTTCCAAGAAAGCTCTGCTTATTCATGGGCTGACTTCGTGCTCGAGTGCATGGGAAAGCGTCGCTCAGCTATTAGTAGCAGAAGGTCAGGTTTTGTGATACTATGACAATCATGCTCTGTTTTTAACAGGCTTTCACAGGGTTCTTCGTCGTGGCGCCGAATCTCCTTGGGCATGCATGGAGACGGGGCACCGACTTCCGCATGTCTGCCCTTGCAGAGGACCTCCGACCATACTTCATCAATGACATGTCCTACGACGTGGTTATAGGTCGTTCTCTTGGAGGCACGGTTGCCCTTTCGCTCTTGCAATTCTTGCCCAAAACGAAAGAAGTCACTGTCATACTCCTCGATCCCCCCCTTGAAATGGAGGGGACAATCGAAATGGATAAAATTTGGTTTCTAAATGCAGTTACGAATGTCAAAACCACCGAGGAGCTGGTTAATGATCTTGGTTGGTCACGACGTGACTGCGTGTTACACGCACTAGGAGTTTCAATGTGCGACCGCACCACCATCGAGGGAGTCTTCTCGGTAATATTGCAACTGTGGACATGCCGAATGTTGCTGACACCTTTGTCGTTGTTGTGAATAGCATAACAGGCCGTGGTCTTTCAGCGGCCTGTTCAAAAACATCCCCCCTCACGTGAAGATCACCGTGCTGGTGTCAGATCCGAAGGCCGGCGCTGTTTGTCACCTGGAGCACATCCCTTGTGACGTCGAGAGACTGAATGTCAGATATCTTCCGGGCATCGGTCACTGCATTTCCTACGAGTGTCCAGAAGCTATTATGGACGTAATCCAACTACAGAGAGCGAAGCTTTGAGCCGTGCGAAGGAGAAGCACTGTTTCGTGGCCTAGTTTGTGTCTACGACTTTCTGTCGGAACTTAGGCTCTATTCGTGCATGGGGTGTTGCAAGGCATACAGTAGTCCAACTATGCCAAGATATCAGTTTCAAGCTTGAAAGAAAAGTATCATGGTCCTTTACCACTGCTGCAGCTCAACCTTTTAACCTTATTGAATCGACTAAGGCGTTTTGCCTCTCCACCATTACTTTGATCTCTGGCTTAAGACTCGCCCAAGGGCTTTTGATAGTATGTCCCTATCAATAGTTGAGTTGCAAGTAAAATCACGGATGAGCTTCGGACATGATTGAAGAACATACCCCGAAATGATCCTGCAGCTCTTCGTCCATGAAGGCGGTGGGCTCATGAATTTTCTCTCGTTTCATATCACGCAAACAGTTCCACTAAGACCTCAGATACTGCACCCACCTGGTGCTCTCCATTTTCGCCCAAATCATAGCCCTCACATTCGTGGCCTGTATCACCTGGTCCCTTCCTCGCAGCATCAAAAACGGAGGTGTACAGCGTTTCTACTCCATCGATATGAATACTAAGCCATAGATTCAGCCCTTCTTCGATAACACCACCCTGCTTTCTGTTAAGGCTGGCTTTAACGAGACCGGGAATTTGCTTGGAGTACGGTTCTGGACGCCAAGTGAAACTAATGGTGTATTCACAACGCCACACATCGTCCAAGGCAAAGTGACATATGTCCGCACGTAAACTGTTCGTATTCCCAAGTGTTTGTCATGAGACATGAACAATGATGATAGACAGGAAAAGCATTAAGAATCACCTTCTTTATCAGCATCAACGACTTCGAGGTCAACTTCACGATGCGTTTGCGTCTTGGGTAACGACTCGATCATTGGGATGTCTAGGTCAGGGTAAATTTCATCCGTAGCGCAGTTCCCGCATTCGTCTATCAAGACACCAGTTCCAGACTACGTAGAGAAAGATTAGTGTCACTTCTTGAAGGTAACGGGGGAATGGTATAGGCCAATACACATGCCGTGTGAATAAGAATGGGGACTGTATAATATGGCATGTTCATGGTCTCTTTTCGGTCCCAAGAGGATCACTCTGGCTGTATAAAAGTCATCAGCATTAGCCCATATAGTATCCGACAATCAGTCAGGAGTTCGAGGTTCAATACAGATGCAGGCTAGTAAGACCACGTCTGCTTTTCTGGCAAGCGATGACGGTCAGCCTGAGATTATGAAAATCGCTATTGGTACTAACAACTGTGACGCCGACACTATTAGACAGCGCGACCTTCTCCAAGTCAGGGGAGCGAATAAGTGCAGTTATTTGAAATGTATCAGATCTAGGGTGGGATAGCAATGCAGACACAGCATATCCGGTAGTGCAGCCTGCGATTAGTAGTTAACTGAGTCAAATTTCGACTGAGAGAACCCACCAGTAGCTCCTGTTACAGACTCAAATGTGGATTTTGATATGATCAGCGGTGAAGTTTCTTGAGTATGTCAAGCTCAATGTCCAGAAGTCGCTATATATAGACGTTCGCTCTATCTGCAGACGTCTCCGAAGACCAAGGGAGTACGTATTGTACCTGCCGAATCCCGATGGATCCGTACTATGTCGCGGTCCCACTCAATGTCCGACTCGCTGAGACGCAGTGGTAGGCTCGTCTCGTGGGGATCGCATGCTGCATGCGACACGTTCCTCATCATTCTACTTTAAAAACTGTTCATATCCTATCATTTCTCGACACAAGTTTTGAGCACCCCGGGCACAGTCTCGGACTCACCAGTAAGTAATCCAGTACTACGTATTTGGGCTGTCCTTGAATGTCAGTGTTACCCCATGATAATCACCGGCCCGGACCAGTATCTCCACGTGGTCTATAATACCAGAAAATTGTAACCAGCTGTAGAAACCCCACGATCGATGTTCCGAATTATATCCAACTCCACCAGGCGTCTGAGCAGGTATAAGAACGCGTTTCAGAAACAAAGTTGTGGTCAGCGGACTCGTTGACGCCTTCATTATGACCCAGTCTTCTTTTAACGAGAAGTGCCAAACGACAGCTGAGTCGTATGAAGTTCAAGGAAACGCTGCCGGGGATGTTTCGCAATACGCAGCTGTAGCAGAGGTCGAGAAACACACGACTTGGTTTGTCTGGCTTCTTGTGGCTTGTTGTACAATATCAGGGTTGTTGTTTGGTATGGGCCGTGTGCTTCACTTTTAAGACGGTGAGCGACTGACCATACGATGTATCAACAGGTTATGATACTGGTGTAATTTCCGGTACTCTAGTTACCATCAATGGGGATCTTGGGCCGGCTCAATTATCAGACGGACAGAAGGTGAGCCGGACTCATATCCAAGACCTAATCCCATGCATTTATGATCACCGACCACGTCATTCTAGGAATTCATCACGTCTGCCACCACATTGGGCGCATTACTCGGGGGCCTTGCTGCTGGTGCTATATCAGACTGGACGGGCCGTCGACCCGTCCTTGGCATCGCAGACATCATCTTCATCGGCGGAGCTCTCGGACAGGCAGTCTGCCATACGGTTTGGAGTATGGTACGCTTACTTCTCCATGTGCCCTCATTGTTTTATTTGCCACACGCTGACCACCAGCTCGAACCGAACGTTGCTAGATTGGTTGCCGGCTCCTCATCGGTATCGGCGTGGGTCTTGCATCCTGCATCGCACCTCTGTATATACAAGAGCTGTCACCTACACGCCTGCGCGGGCGCATGGTTGTTTTGAACGTTGTAATGATCACCTTTGGGCAGGTAGTTGCATATGGAATCGATGCAGGCTTTTCAAATGTGAGTGGTGGTTGGAGGTGGATGGTTGGACTTGGTACCGTCCCAGCTGGTATTCAATTGATATTTTTGGCGTTCTTACCGGAGAGTCGTGAGTTTCTTTACTCTGTGATTGTATAACGTCATTTGTCGAGGGATGGCTAACAATGACCTTTGTTTTGCAGCAAGGATACTTATCCGGAAGGGCAATATAGAGGCTGCGCACAGAGTGTTGGAACGTGTCTACTCGCAAGCCACGGCTGAACAGATTGATTTACAGGTATTCTTAGCGTTGGTCGGTCGAGTACTGGCAAATAATCTTAACCACCTCATAGCTCCAGGTTCTCCGAGCATCGGTACAGCAGAGTATCGATATCGCAAATTCCACAACCTTCTTTGAGCGCTTTAAGTCCATGATCACTGTTCCCGTAAATCGTAGAGCACTGAGTAAGACATACCCATTGCTTACACAGCCTTGTTGTACTTACGTTGCAAAGTCATCGGGTGCGGCATGCAAGCGTTCCAACAACTCTGTGGATTCAATACACTCATGTATTACTCTGCATCACTCTTCCAGGAGATAGGGTTCGACCAGCCTACGGCGGTTGGACTCATTGTCAGTGGGACAAATTTCATCTTCACGCTTTTTGCGTTGAAGTATATTGATCTCGTGGGACGACGGAGGATCATGGTGTTCTCTGCACCGGGCATGGTTTTTGGCCTCACCCTTGCCAGCATCGCGTTCTACTGTAAGTTTTCCATTCATCGTACGATGGGCCAGATGACGGACTCGGACTTGGTAGATATGACACTGCATACAGGTGGCGATCTAGTCAATGGCGCGTCTTACTCCAGATCATGGTCAGCGATTGTCCTTCTCTCTATGATCATCTTCGTCGCATCGTATGCAACGGGCTTAGGAAACGTCCCGTGGCAGCAAGGCGAGCTCTTCGGACTCGAAGGTCGCACCATTATTTCTCCCACCCGTGAGTTCAGCACTGACGTTTCGTGCAGTCCGCGGCATCGGCACATCGCTCTCGACTGCGACAAACTGGGCTAGCAACCTTCTCATTGGCTCTACATACCTCTCTCTCATGGCGAAAATTACCCCCGCCGGTGCATTCGGGTTCTATGCAGGACTGTGCCTATTAGGATGGCTGTTTTGCTTGTTTTGCTTCCCTGAGATTGCTGGGCTGAGCCTCGAGGAGGTCCAGGGGATCTTTCAGGATGGTTTTGGGATCCGAGAGAGCCAGAGAATGAGGAATCAAAAGCGAGAGATGAGGATGCAGCAAGATATCAAAGCAGGGCGGGGAGATGCGTGATGGGCACGCAGTGATATGGTATCTATCTCACAGATGATATACACGCACGTCACTTGAATCCGACATCAACCGAAGTTGCTACCATTCTACCTGCCGCACATAAGGCTGCACCATAATAACACGTGTCATTCAACAAACGAGAGAAGCTCATGGTGCATCTATCATCAAGCTTTCGTCGCCGTCCAGAAAGCAGTTTTATAAACGTATCCCAGCATAGACTGGGCATTACTCGTGTAAGTCGTGTCTATCGTTCGCTCATTCTGATTGTCCTCGTCAGATTGACACTGCGGAATGCGATATAGACTTACAGATATCACGAAGCCAATTTTTCGAGCCAGCATTTTGACTTCTTCGAGATCAAGTTCGATGGATGGATCATTGGTTGCATTGTTTTCGAAGTGCCAGAGCAGCGGGCCTGAAATGTAGTCAGCAGGAGAACTGGGACAAAGCGACCGCCCTCACCTATGTTAACCCACACTCCACCAGGTGTTAATATCCGGTGAATTATACGAAGGTAGTTGATGATATTCTTTGCCTGAAGCAGCTTCATTAGGATAGAATACACCTGAACAGAAACAAAAATCCGCACAGTGTCAATGAAGAAACATGTCAAAACAGCGTCCCATTGCCCCGCCTGTGGGTCGAAATCGCCTTCTTCGAATTCTGCTCCATAAATCTCCTCGAAATCGCCTGAAACGTTGAGAAGCCACGATACTCAAAGGACCTGTCAATAATCATACCCGCAACCAAGGAGAAATTCGAGCCAGTAGGTAGGGCTGAGGGAAGGACATCGGGTATTTTCACTGGGCGCAACATCGCTTTACGGTCAGGAAGGTTGGAGAAAGAATGGATGTAAGGGTATATAGTGTATTGTTCAATTGCGTCAGTCCTGGACCGAAGATCGAATGTTCAGCAGCACACCCAGACCCCTGCTTTTCTTACCTGTTTAAAATAAGATAAGATGCCAGAAGCATGTAGTGAGAGAATTCATTTCCCTGACAAGCGAATCCTAGCGAACTGACTCAGTCGAATTCAGGAGAGAGATACGTGAACTCCACAAACCTAAATTCGCAACATCATAAGCCAACCGGCCAAGGCCTGCACCAGGAACAAGCACCCGGATATTTTGCCTGTTGATTTTATACATCTACGTCGTCAAGGGGAAACTTTAGAGCCTGAGCTAACCTTGACTCCGGGAATGGTTTATCTGAGAAATGCGCAACGAGCGCATCTTTCATTGGCGTATAACACGTTTCCCGTTCCTCTTTTCCCTGTGATGCAAGCCAAAGTTACATACATTGAAAAGGGGTGGAGTTGTTTGTTTACCTCTTGACTCCAGTCTCGTACGAATTGCTTCAGAGTGCTTCGCAACTTGTCCATGTCGAAGTCCGTAGGTTTATACTTTTGCTGATGCTTACTGGCAGTTCTGAGATCTGAGGTGGCATTTGCATGGTCGTGCGAGTGACTGTGGTGATGATGCGGGTGACTATGAGAATGTGAATGCACGTCACCTGTATTGCATTGATATCGTTAGGCACAGATCATATTCTTTCTCGTACAAGTACAAACCCTGCGAATGGTCGTTCAAAGCTCCACAGCCAGCCTTGTCCTCATCTACATCTTTAGGAGAGTCGAGATCATGGCCAAAGATCTCGGGGTTTGCAACAATCAGCTTCAAGAATTCTGCATTGACCAGGATAGCTTTATCCACTTCTTGAAGTTTCTGCCGGTACCCAAGGCCATCGAGAAGTTCTTTGTCACCCTGAGGAAGTGTGTAGATGTCTTTTCGTCGCCTGTTATTGGCCGCTAGCTAAATATGACAACCAAGCTATTCATAAGGACGCGCGGTGCGTGATGATTAAAACACCTGCCGAGTATTGGGCATATTGTTGGAATGTTGCGATGACATTAGAGAAGTGCTTTTGCTCCTCTTCGATGTCAGCGTCCGAGAATGTTTGGGACATTGTTCAGTAGACAAGTGGATGTACCACTAAGTAAGATCAACGTTATTCGAAGCAACCGAGTCAGAAAAGGGTAATTAATATTATAGGTGAGTCTAAGTCAGCGACTTCCGAATTCAACAACATCAAATAACAACTACTACTATCTTTGGCCCAGAGTTGCAAATCACAATGTAGCACACTCATCTTCCACTCATTTCCTTTGCACAATGATTCTAGAGGATGATTAGTATATAGCTTGCTGTATTTATTTTTTATTTCATGAAAAATGAACTGGAAGTGCTTGCGGCAGCGAAATACAGCATGGAACATGCACTTTCTGCACCAATCTGTCAGAGGAGAGCCATTACATGTGCCAAAAAATTCAGAAATTTTACTAGTGATTCTACATTGCCTTCTAGCACTGCTCTAATTTTTTCTGACATGAAAACTGTGTTATGTTGAGAGCCATAAATGTTGTACTATTGAGATGCAAAACGTGACAGGATGTTACAATTGTGGTTACCCCCTATCTCTTTTTCCTCTTACTTGTGTATTATGTCATGACTGCACCTTGCTGTGCCATCATTAGACTAACCGCCTTCTATATCTGTATTACATCATGACCACCACATGCTGTCGCTAGATGACTCACTCCCTTATCTCTGACTCATCTTCTTATCTATGACTCACTTCCTTATCTCTGACTCAACTGATGACATGTACGTACCTGCCCTAAAGGACCCACATCTATATAAAGCCGGTCATGTACTTAGATAGACTTCACTTTAAATCTACTAGGTTTTACCAGAACTATCCTTTGCTTAGGACCCCCAATCCTAAGTCGTCTGATAACCAATATTCAAGTCAGAGACACTCTCTCCGACTTGTCTTAAGAACCTTACATTTGTAAGGACACAATCTGGCTTCAGGTGTACTCTTATCAAGTACCTGTCATCGAGCCCATCCTAGTTCGCTGTAACAAAAGATTAAAGTCCACCATCGACCCTCTCTATCAGAGAGGTTACAGATCCCAGAAAGAACTCAGCGAGAGAATGACAACGTTCCCCTGAACCAGATCCCAGAAAGAACTCAGTGAGAGAACGACAATGTTCCCCTGAACCAGAAACATCACTCAACCAGATGCTCAGGATGTCCACCACCCCAGAATTGAAAGCTGGAGCTCTGTCCAACTATGATGGAAGCCCTCACCAGGCTCTACGATGGTTGTATGCGGTTAAAGCGTACTTCGTGCTTAACGCTACAATCTATAACACCAACGAAAAGAAGGTCATCACCGCTCTTGCATATATGACCGAAGGAAGTGCCATGGGCTGGGCACTGACCTTCTATACTGAAGTTGACAACACCGTCGCCAAGTCCTACGGGACCTTTACAAACTTTGAGACCAAATTCAAAGAAGCCTTCGTACTGGCTGATGCCATTGGCACTGCCATGAACAAGCTCCGAACGTTGAGACAGACGGGTGACCTCACTTCCTACGTCGCCAGTTTCAAAACCCTTGCTGCACAAGCCTCCGTGAAGCAAGATGCCATCTTAATCACGTTCTTCAATGACGGATTAAAGAAGGGAATTGTCAACTCCATCTTTCAGATGGAGACCATCCCAACAGACTTTGATAAGTACGTCGCTGCAGTCATCAGACTTGATAGCAACTACCAGAGGGGGGCCGCGTATTGATCAAATCATCAAACCGCCACCAGACCGTCGGGACAACAATATGTACCCAGACCTTCCATTGATTGACACGATCCGAACGCCATGGAAGTAGATAGGCTCACTGAAGCCGAAAGAAATGATCATATGAAGAAGGGACTATGCTTCACATGTCACCAGAAGGGACACCTTACCAGAGCCTGCCCAACGAAGAAGAAGACTCCTATTTGCTGAGAAGAAATAAGCAAAGATGAAGATGAAGATACAACGATCCGTCGTATCACTGAGGATTTTTGATATGGAAGACTGGATCGACGCCAGTATCTTCCAATGTACCCATTAGACTTGTACAGAGTATTGGAATCAGAAAGGAACTTCGTGTCCCCATTTCCCTTATTTCAAAAACTTGTCTTAAAACTGTCGAAACAACAGCCGTTGTTGACTCCGGCACCGCCGGAACCTTTATTTCTGAAGAGTTTGTCAAAACTCACAGGATCCGAATGCACAAACTATTGAAACCATTCCGGGTCACCACTGCGGATGGAAGTTATGCGAAGGGGGGCGCTATCACCCGATACTGCATCCTCATTGTCAAAATAGATGAACGATCCATGCTAGGAAAGTTCAGCATCACTTGACTTGGTCGATGTGATCAGATTTTACTAGGGATCCCGTGGCTACATGCCATGGACCCGGTAATCCGATGGAAAGCAGAAACGCTAGAACTCCCGAGAACGGAGAAAAGCAATCAGATTGAAGAAGATGTTGATAGAGAAAGAAAGAAGAATGGGCTCCCGCCCCTTTTCCGAAAACCTGATCGAAAGAAGAAACCGACCCCAGTAGTAGTGCTGCCGAAGGCGCCTCCTGAAGAATTGGTCGAGACACCCAAAGAACCAACACCACAAGTCACTTTGGAAGAAATCCCTGATGACTACGATAAGTCCTTCGATACCAAAGAAGATGTATGGACAATGGATTATGCACCGTCAGTGCGAGAAATCTCTACGTATCATCTAGAAGATGACGAATTTTTGGTCAAGTACCCCGTCGACGCTTCAGAGCTCCGGGTAATCGCCAATGTCTCACTAGACACCCCATTAACAAAGGATGGGACTAGCATCGCGGAACAACGAACCACAATTGCACCTCTGACACGACCTGCCAAGTACATCAAGACCAGCAACAAAGCCCAGCAGTTTGCATTAGCCACTGGGCTCGAGCAAAAGAAAAAATCCTTTGAAGAACTCGTCCCCTCCTACCTTCACGACTTCACCGACATCTTCACAAAAGACAGTCTGAATCAATTACCTCCCAAACGACCTGGGATAGATCATCGGATAGAAACTAAACCTGGTTTCATCCCCAAAACGTCCAAGGTGTACC